ATTATTGGTGCATTTATAAGTCCAAAAGGCATGAATTTGTATTCGAAATGTCCATACCTTGTTCGAAACGCAGTCTTCCATTCATCTCCTTCTTTGATGCGTACCAAATTATATGCTCTTCGTAGATCTATTTTTGTATAGATCTAACCTTGATTCAAATGATGAAGGAGTCTAGATATCAAAGGTAGCGGGTACTTGTTATTTATAATAATTTTATTGATTCCTTGATAATTGACACAAATTAGCAATGATTCGTCTTTTTTCTTCACAAATAAAATTGAAGCTCTTATTGGAGATTTGGAATGGCATATGAAGTTCTTGGCCAGATTTTCTTCAATATACTCCTTGAGTTCATCCAATTCATTTTGAGATAAATTATATATTGGTCCAAATGGCGGTGTTGTAATACATGAAGTCTTGCTTGAGAATGCTCCAGGCACTTGGCTATGGAAGGAAGAATGGAAATTGTAATAAAAAAATCCTAATTCTAATAGAATACTAACAATGCTCTAATTAGACTATAATAATGCTAAGTAAGCTTAATCAAATTCAAAAAAAACTCAAAGAAATTTCAAAAAAACAATAAGAATTCTTAAAGAAACATTAGAAAGAACACAAATATCACTCAAATATATCTCAATTCAATCTTAATTTAATTCTAGTTAAAATCCTATTGAACTTCATTCAAACTTTAGGCCAAAACTAATTGAATCTTAAATCCTAATAAAATCCTAAACCCTAAATCAAACCCTAAACAAACCTTAAACCGAACCCCAACCAAATCCTAAACCAAATCCTAACCAAAAGAACCCCGGAGTCGTCATTGAGACTTGGTTTTGTGCCCCAGGGTCTGATTTCGACCTTGGTTCATAACCGGCCCTCTCCGGGTATCAATATCTAGTTTTTCTAAGTAAATTTTTTTTAGAATTTATTCTTAACTTCCTTCTAAAGATGCCTATATCATTTATTTTTTCCAATCTACTTTGATTTGGCTTACTTATGGTGCTACAAATTAAGTAGAAGTCACCCTTCTAAAAGGCAGTATTGGTACCTTTTAATTTTTCTATCCCTTTGGCTATTAACTATATTTCTAAGATAATTTGTTCTAATAATTTGAACGAAGATTTCCTAAATTATAATAATCTCCACACTCTTTCACCTATTAATCGTGTTACATCATGACAGCAGTTGTACTCTTTCTTGAAGGTCAATTGAGTAGTCATAGGAACAATATTCCGAAAGAGTATCCGCATTCTTCTTCTCAAATACATCTTGAAAATCTTGATATTGGCTTGAAATGCCATTTGAAGTCTTTCCACTAGTAGAAACAGGTGTGGCATAAATGACACAAGGTGATCCTTCTTTTGCAGCATGCAAGAAAGCTCTTGCTCCTACAAATATAGATTTAATTATACTAGACTTATGACTTTCTACTTAATTAACTACACTCTTTGTTATACTTTCAAAAAAATTAAGACTACGAGAAGTCCAATCTATTTTAGGATTATATTTTTTTAGCCATGATAAACCTAAAATAACTAGATTAGAAGAAGATCTAATGATATTAAATAATACAAAGCTACTATGACCATTAGTTGCTATTTCTGTAGGAAGGGTTTTATGATTAACATCTCTTGAAGACAATAGACGACCATCTATGACTTCTACATGAATAGATTTAGTTTTCTTCACTAAAAATATGCTATGTCTTTTAGCAAATTCTTCATCTAAGAAACATGTTGAAGCTCCTGAATCTAGCAAGGCAAAGGCTTTGTGATGTTTAGGTCCTAAAATAACACTTATCGTAAAACATGGAGAGGGTTTTGAAGAGAGGATAAGACCTTCACTAGGCATTGTACAAGGTTTCTGCCGCACTGTCCCTATTGTAGTTAGACAAATCCATTTTCCCACATGCTATCTTCTTTGATCGCCGTACTCCTCATTTTATGGTTGCGTTGCTTCTTTGGACAATGTTGAATAGTGTGCTTAGGTTCTCCACAATATAAGCACAATCCTTCCTGACGAGAATGAGTCTTTTCTTACTCAGTAAGAGATTTGAAATGTACCACATCAGTTTGCATATCCTCTACTTTCGAATGTATGTGTTGAAGAGATGTTGGTGTTGCCATTGAATTATAGTAACGTTGAGGTCCACTTGTACGGTTCTCAGATCAAAATTCAAAAAGACGATTGTCGCACTTCACAGCAAAGTCAATTGCTTGATTCAAAGTTTGAAGATCAAGTAAGTTGAGCATTAATTTTTTTACCTCATATTATAATCCGTAGAGAAATTGACTAATAAGTACAACATCATCCCACTTGATATCAGTTACAAGTTGTCAAAATTGTGAAGCATATAACGTAACTAATTGATTGCCTCGTCACAAAATACGGATCTTATTAATTGCAACACGAATTGCATCATGTTCTCCATACATGGATCGAAACTCTACCAAAAAAGCCTCTAGATTATCCAATATTGGATCTCGTTATTCAAGAAAAGATAAAAACTATGATAATGCTGAACCTAAAAGAAGCGTACCATTGAATCTAACTTGGGATCCTGGAGTTGGATAGCTTTGGGATTGAAGTTCAATCACAAGTTGTACTTGATTGATAAATCCTCTAAACTTTGATCTGGTGCCATCAAACTTCTCAGATAGGATAATTCTTGGTTCTCTAATATTGGAAGGGCATTCCACCATAAGAAGAGGAACATGATTTGGTGCAGATATTGAAGCAACTCCAATCATTTCTATATCTTCACTTCCTGACAATCTTATTGCTCCTTGTGGTGGTAAATTGAGTTGATGCATCGCAAGCATTAACTCTCTTAATATGTTTATGGATTGAAGTAGCTAAAATTATCATATATTAAATAAATAGGTTACTTACAAAAGTAAACAACTTCAATATATCTCTAGAAGAAGTATTTTTAAGAATTGAACCAAAGTTACATCATTTAAAAACTTTTGGATATCTAGCACATGTGCATTTAAGACATTATTCAAGAAATAAATTACAATCATGATTTATTATTAGAAACTTTATAGATTATGATGAATAAATAAAAAAATATATGATATATCTACACCATCTCAAGAAGATCATTGTTTTAAGGGATGTCGTATTTGAAGAAACAATAAAATTGAAATACAATAAACCAACAAATAGCAATTCAATTAATATAAATATTGAACAATAAAATATGGACATCTTAACTATGGACAATCTCACAAAGGTCATCTTCCTACAAAATGAATTTTCAAGGCAAAACTTAATACTAACAAGTCACTACAAAAACATAAAGCTAGACTTATGGCACAAGGATTTGAAAAAATGGAAAGAATTGACTATGAAGAAACATTTGCATCAGTATTAAAATGGCCACCCATTAAAGCAACAATATTAATTGCACCTCAAAAGGACTAGGAATTGTATCACATGGATGTCAAAACAACTTTTATACATGAAGATTTCAAAGAAGAATTTTATCTCTAACTATAAGGATTTGAAATACCTAAAAAAGAATAGATAGTCTGCAAATTCCAAAAAGCACTATATAGATTAAGACAAGCTCCTAAAGCATGGTATGAAAAGATAGATTTGTATTTGAAAGGAGTCGATTTTAAATATGGCATACAAGACCATAACTTGAACTCAAGATCATCAAAAAAAACAAAGTTATTTTCATTGCATTGTATATTGATGATCTTTTCATGATATGAAATTGTATTGAAAACATGAACAACTTCAAGAAAGAATTATATAATTATTTTGAAATGTTTGAATTATTTGGAGGAGAAGTCACACTTTATTTAAAAGCAAAGTACATATAAATTAAAGAAGGAATTTTTATGACACAAAAGGCCTATGCGCAAAATATTTTAGCAACCTTTAGTATGAAAAATTGTACTCGAACAACAATCCCTGTAAGCAAAAAAATTAAACTCAAAATTGATATGGGAGAAAAAATAGATTCAATACTTAAAGCATTGTGGAAAAATGTTTGCACTTGACTCATATACGTCCTAACATACAATTTGCTATAAGAGTAGTAAGTTGATTCATAGCAAGATCTTAGAAATCATACCTACTATTAGCAAAGAGAATCTTACAATATATCAAAATCACTCAAGATTATGGGATTTTATATTGAAAAACTAACCAAACTCACCTCATTGGATATGTCAACTTTGACTGAGTAGGAAACCTAGAACAAGCACAATCCACCATTGGTTTTGTCTTTAGTAAAGGAAATACATCCGTATCATGGTTATCTAAGAAACAACTGACTATGGCTCTATCATCATCGAAAGTAGAATATTCTACTCTAGAGAAGTCGCTTGGCTAACCATGCTACTCAAAGATTTATATCTAGAAACCAACAATCATATACTGTGCCAATGCTGCAAGTATGGCCACAAATCTGAGAGTATAACCAGACAAAATTAAACATATGCAATTATTACTACAATTATATATATATATATATATATATATATCATTAATGAGCAACTTAAGTTCGGCGGCATGATTTGTTCGACCTTCAGGTGATTGCATATGAGGTCAAACATGATTCTTTGCTGCAAGATTCGCACCTCCTTTCGACTGCAAAAGTCGGTTATTTGACATCATGGAAGAATGCTAAAGATGGATTCGTTCTTCTTGAGTCCATTGTGCTTACCTATGCTCAGCACATCATAATCCAGACTCCAATTTGCAACCTCTTAATTATCTCATTGCATAAAAGTTGTAAAAACTAAAGCAGGACAGTATGAATCAATGTGATTACCCTTCAAAGAGGTTAGGTTACAACCCCCAGATAGAAGTACAGTCAAATGCAAAATTTTAAGTCCAGTAGTTGAAACCTTCAAGCAATTTCGAAGTATTGAGAGCAACGCAGCATCCCGAACTTTTCTAATAATAAAAATCTCACTATTTCCGTGAAGAGATTGAAGCGAGCAAGAAAGCACAAACTAAACCTAGATACAGCACTGTAAACAAATAACATATTTTCTTAACTGTTATTCCAGATCTCAGATGCAGTGGTAGACATGTACAACAATGGACGAAAATCCAGCACTTTGAAAAGGATTAGAGTGGAAAAATTCGATTCGTAAATTTCCACCATGCATTGAAACCTTAGATACCTCTATAAATCTACGTGTGTCATAGCAGTTGCGTAGCGTCTCTGAATGAAGCTCACACCGGTAAATTGGACTCTTCTTCTAATTGTCTTCCTAGGAAGCTGCTCTTCATGTTGAGAGTTGCACTGCAAGATGAGGCGAACATCTCCTAAACAAGTCTCACCACCCTAAATATTCCCGTTCCTACAGAAACAATCCGTACTACAGGGTCGAGCATCGCAAAAATATTAGGTAATCTCATTCTTCAGTAACCATAGCCTGCATCAATCCACACAAAAATCGTCTGTAAAGCATTCGCAGCAACACACAGAAAAATTTACAATCGTCCAAACAAAAGATCAGGTTACTTTAGAGCAATGCCATATATTTGTAAGATACTGCACAAACTTGACAGAAAATTAAAGCAGATGTAGCTCATTCAATGGACGCACCTGATGCATCCATGGGGTTGCCAGCTGGAACAGGCTCTGGTTCTTTGATTTCCGTCACTACTACATCGGAGGTCAAGAAAATCTTGGCTACTGAGGCGGCATGCTCTAAGCAGCACCTAACGACCTTGGCAGGGTCGATGATTCCAGCGGCCATAAGATCCTGATACTCACCTGTGGCAGCGTTGTAACCGAAGGCAGGGTTTTCATTAGCCAACACCTGTCAATCAAATAACAATTTTTGAATTAATTTTCAAAAAACGAATAAACTGATTCATTATCAAGCTTCACACATAAGGGAGAAAAATTCAGACACAATCCAAGAACAGTAACTCGTCGAGGTCCAGAACAATCAAAATCCAGAAAGAACTAACCTTCTCAACTACGACGCTTCCATTCACACCGGCATTTTTGGCGATCAACTTCAAAGGGTAACTCAAAGCCCGCCTCACAATTTCTGAACCAACCTGTCGAGAGGCAGGGTGACAGTGGCATCATATAATTAAAGACCTTTCCAACGTAATAACACAATCAAAATCAGTAGAGATCAGAATTAATCAACTGATCCCCCCCCCCCCCCAACAAAAGGTCTTCTGTGTCGTTACTACATGAAATCCATCACTACTCACCTTCTGCTCATCGTTGTCCAGAGTATCTTTGATAGCATCCACTTGGCTAGCCAATCTCAATAAGGTGCATCCTCCACCCACGACGATGCCTTCCTCCACAGCAGCCTTGGTGGCATTTAGCGCATCCTCAACACGGAGCTTCTTCTCCTTCAACTCTGTCTCGGTTTGAGCTCCGACCTGCGCAGGAAGTCCCACGTCAAGAGAGGCCTTCATTGTGCAAACCACAACACGGAACAATTTGAGAATATATAGTGGACGCTGTCACGACAGGGAGCTAACAGATTCTTATTATGATTGAAACAAATGAAGACATATACCTGAATAATGGCGACACCTCCCGATAACTTCGCAATTCTCTCATTCAGCTTCTCCTTCTCGTACTCTTGCTCAGCAATTTCGATAAGGTTGCGAATTTGGGCCACACGCTTCTCCACTGCATCTTGCGTGCTACCGTCTCCAACAATGGTGGTTGAGTCCTTGGTGAGGACGACCTTGGCGGCAGTACCCAACACTTCCGTGCCAACTTTGTCAAGAGATAAACCAAGCTCATCACGAACAACGGTGCCATTAGTAAGGATAGCAATATCATCCAGGTACTGGCTCTTCCTTTCACCGAAACCAGGCGCCTTCAAGGCAGCAACCTTGAGCGAACCTCTCAATTTGTTGACTACCAACGTAGACAGGGCTTCCTGCTCAATATCCTCGGCAATGATCAAGAGTGGGAATCCGCCACGGATGGTTTCCTCCAGAATTCCGATCATGTCACGGGCAGTTGTGATCTTCTTATCGACCAAGAGAAGCTGCAGGGTCCCACCATCAAGTGAACTCAGTCAAAGATAAATCTCAGCAATCATTAACATAGTAGTGCGCTTCACAAGTTAGTGGAGAATGCCGCAAGCTACTGACTCGTCAGACACAAAACCGTTCTTTCATGTTTCTGTAAGACAAAAAAAAATACGAAACAACGAAAATAAGCACGCTTTAAAAGAGTGGTTTACCAGCCTACCAGTTCTCTTAGGCAGCTCTACGTGAAAAGAGGTGGAAGTATCACGTTATTAAATACTATTTTCGAAAAAAAAAACTAGAGGGTTAAAGATACAAACATACCCTGCAGTTGTCGTACTCAACATCCATCTTCTCGGGATCAGTCACAAAGTAGGGAGAAATGTATCCTCTGTCGAATTGCATCCCCTCAACCACATACAAGTTGTTCTCAGCACTCTTGCCTTCTTCAAGGGTGACAACACCCTTCCGTCCCACCTTGCTCATGGCCTCAGCAATCATTTGCCCAATCTCGGGATTGTTGCCAGCACTAACCGCCGCGACATCAGCCAATTCGCTGTCTTCAACCTGTAATTTCGTCCCACCAACTTAAGTCAACTAAGAGACCAAAGAGGGAGCTTCAAATAACTTACAGCCCTCTTGTAAAATAGACATGCAAAAGAAGAACTAAAGTGATTTACACGAAAAGACGGGGAACTGCTTTAGAATGGGAAGCGTCGCCATATACCTCCTTAGACATCTTCTTCAACTCTTTAACCAAAGCGACGACAGTTTTGTCAATGCCTCTGGTGATTTGCACTGGGTTGGCTCCTGCAGCGACAACCTACGTGTGAAGAAAGTTGACCAGATTAGCTCAACTTCATAGATTGAGCCGAATATTCGATTCGAGTGCGATAACAACTGAGGAGTAACTTTGAAAGATCGCAAATACTACATTAAGAAGACATTCAGGCGGGTGATGAAGCTACCTTGACACCCTCGGCAATGAGCCCTTGAGCAAGAACCACAGAGGTGGTGGTACCATCACCAGCCAAATCGTTGGTCTTGGCAGAAGCTTGCCTAACCAACTTGGCTCCAATATTCTCGACTGGGTCTTCGAGCTCGACCTACATTGAGTTCAGCGCCATAGTCAATTCAACTAGCTAATCCCATCATAAGCAAGTGCATTACTTGAGTTCGCCACGTGGTTCTCAGGAGATTTCCAAGGAGCAGAAACACATGAACCTCGACCCTCACGTAAGGGGAGACACCACTAACCTCCTTGGCCACGGTGACACCGTCGTTCACAATCTTGGGGGACCCGTACTTACTTTCAAGCACGACGTTGCGTCCCTTGGGTCCCAAAGTGACACCGACTAGATCCGCAAGCTTGTCAACTCCAGCCTGCTCAAAACAACATTCCAACCAAGAGTGAGGAGACCCGAAACATTTTAGGGTTGAATTAAGATGCTGAGTGCATCGTGACTGCATCGGACATAAACTCCCTTGATCGAAACCCACTGCACGAGACGCGGGCAACAATGCAGACACAACATGCGCAAAACCCCAGTCCTGACCCAACAAAAGCACCCACCTGCATCCTCTTGATAGCGGAGCCATCCTTGTTGAAATGAAGCTCCTTCGCAGCCTTGACCGGCAAGCGATGCGCCACCCGCTGCCTCTGCAACTTCGCGACGCCACCAAAGTTCACACGGCCAAAAGCAGCGGAGGAACTCAAGGAGGATGCAGCCTTGTTCTCAGCTGCCACCCTCAGGGAAGAAGTGGCAGCGGATCCGGCCATTGCCATGGTGGTGGCAGCCATGAAGCTACGCCCCTCTCCTTAATCTGCAACCTACTCAATTCCTCCACCACAATGCAGCAGCAACAAGCTGAATTACAAAATACCTCGCAAGGCACCCACACTACAAGAACACCGCGACGTAAACAGTTGGTTTGACTCCCGTGCCGAGGAATTCCAGAGGATAAGGCGAACTAATGATAAAAGGGTCTCGGCTAACTTCACATAAACATGAAAACCAGGATGGAGAGGAAGACTCCAGAGAATGACAACAGGACATCAGGGTCAAATCCAGAACCTTCTCACATCCTTAAACCCTCAACTCTTGTCAGACGCTTGGGTTTTGGGGTCCAAACCCCAACACTTTTCTGTAACCACCCATTTCGAGGATGATATACTCGCGATGAGAACTAGGATAACGTTCTGCGGTCTTCCGGCTGGAAAGGATTCGAGAACTGGTGATGTTTATGATGCTACCCTGTTGATGAGCAGGGTGGTGCCCTACCTATGATTTTTTGTGGTAACCATGTCCAGTCATCGATCCTGGAACCGACTAAGAGTTTTCCCGTTACAGTGGTGACGAAACTGCAATCTTTTTCGCCGTCTTGTCACCGTGCACCGAGTTCAACCAAGACAAGACCATTCTACCAGTTCTACAGGATTGTTTCGCGGCCAGATTTTTCGAGTTTGATTGTGAATCAATACAAGTGCGGTATGAACTCTTTTGTATAGTCTCTGCATTACTTGTGTGATCATCGCATCCTTTCGTCTTTACAAATTTTCTGCTGATTTGTTTTTAGGTCTGTGGGTTGCAATTGACGATGAGTATTCCGGTGTGCCGGTGACGTGCTAGTGAGTTCTGTGTTCTGGAAAAGACGTTGGAGGTTTAAAATTCGCTCTCTCTGCTACGATAATCCATTAATTCTTTGTTAAGACAAAATCCGATACGTGTCCTGCACTTAGCTCTGAGCAGTTTGAGATTTTGTGAATTGTTGTAGCGCGACACTTAGGTGCCCTTGTTTAAGTTGTGGGTCAAAGGAGTGCCGCCAGCGGTCGACCTTTTTTAGATTCCCATGTCTATGACTTCGACATTCTAGTTCACTTATGTTAATTTGGTTAGCAATTGGCCGGTGATTTGCTTTTAAAAGGGATCCTGGGTCTATTTGTTTTTCTAGGATTGATGGTAGAAGAGGAGTAGACGATGAGATTACTAAGAGTTCTCCTGTAACTTGCTAAAGCTGGTTACTACTCTGGAAACAACTTTTTATGATCTGAGAATATAGGTGGACATCAGCTCTTTCGGACATGCCTCGAGGTGGCCGAACCCTAATAAAATGCTGCTTCGTCTTAGATCCTTAGAGCTGCGTGACATCTTGGTCATCTTTTTCCTGCAGGAAGTTATGATTCAATTGATATAAAATCGATTTGAAATTCATTGGACTCTTTTGCAGCACGTTTCTTTTTTCTTTCCTCTACCTGCGTCGATTAGAATTTTAAAAACATCTTGTCATTGCATTATGTAACCTAACTTTGATTGTGGGTTTTGCAGATGCAAATTCAAAGGGAAATATAGAGTGCTGGAGGTTCTGACCTCATCGAATTGTGAAGTGCCAGTTATTCAGCTTCTCATTTCCCCTATTTTGAGCAGTATGTCTTGGTTATGGGAAAAGAGTGGGACATGGAGATGGGTCGTTATGAACAGTAAATACAACAAGGGATTTTTCTTCGCTTTCACTACTCTTTGTTTTATGGGCTCATGGGCGCTGGGAGAGGCAGTTATGCGAACGACAAATATGTCTCAAATTTCGCTGGATGAAGAGCTTCGGAGGCGAGCAAGGCCGGATTCCATGGTGAGGACCTCACTCGTTGCTAAAATCTACCTTAAACCTTAATCTAACACGATATTCTTCAATTTATGATGTGAATGTGCTCAACAACAATTTATGGCAATCTTGCGCAGATGGTGGGACAAGTGAACAAGGATAGATTAAGACAGCTTTTGGAAGAAGTCCAGCGGAAGGAGAATACCGAAGATAGATATGCAGCAGCACTGCGAGGGGAAACTTTAACTGGGACACCAGGTGCTCGTGTGAGAGGTGGTGCAGGAACCAGTATGCAGTCCCCTTCTTCCCAGCCAGAGAAGATTGCTGTCTCTTTGCAAACGGGGCAGACTGTTAAAGATACCAAAGTTCCAGCAACTACCACCTCGTGAGACAAATTGAGCTGTTTCCTTGCTGTCTACTTCCTGTTACTAACTTTTAAATAGGCAGTTGTGTGCACGGTCAGTAGATCAGATGGTATTTCTACTTGTAGAATTCTCCAGTCGCTTACCAATGAAGGCTCGTCAACAGGATGTCACGCTTACCAGCTTGAACCTTGCTAAGCAGATTGCTCAGTGACATCTAAAACTTCATGAACAAATAGAGATTTTGCATAGTGGGTCCTATCCAGCAAGCATTAAACTTGCAAAGAAAGGGTTAAGGCATCAATGTAGTGCTTTCTAATTTAGCAAACAAAGAAGTTCAGGGTCTGACCATTTTTAGGGCATCTCAATCTTCAATTTGAAGCTTGCATGTCTCTAGAAGACGGAGACTTAGAAGTTCAACCTTAACTCTTACTCTGACCAGAATTTGAATTATCCAACAAAAATCTTGCTTGTCACATCTTCTTTGCAATTCGAGGAGTTAAGTGTATTGGTAATCAATGTAAAATACCAAAAACATCTGATAATTACTTTTTGAACGTCAGTCGATGGTAAGATCATTACCGAGACTAGTGTCAAGGCTTACCCATTGCATGACAAATATGTAACTATATGTGTAGTACAATTGTCCAACATAGACAACAATGTTTCATGATACTGTTCTATCTAACTTTTGATTTTTCAGCAACATTGCGTGACTGTATGTGATATTTATGTCATGGAAGTGATAATGAACGAAGTTATTTGATCTTCGAGAGTATGAATGTATTCAATTCTTTATAAGTCAACAATGGATTCTATTTGTTCGGATGTTTCCAGATTTGTTTACTTGTACAGCAATTGATTTTCCTTCAGACCTCCTTCCTTTCCACTTCTCACATTAATAACTTTGATATGAAGGTAAAATACGATGCAAATTTCTGTTCCGGTAAAGAGAATAATGAATGTGTAGTAATTTATGGCATTGTCATTATTCGATAGATATTTGTTTGTATATCGGTTTTGTGAAAATCAATTGAGATGAAAAACAATTTTGAAGTATGAATTCAAAAGTAAAAAATAATATTCTTTCTTGATTAACTAGAAGTTGGTATATGTATCAACTATGGAGATCCTAACATAGTTTGGTGGGTTTCTTATTTAAATGTCAATTAAAAGTATGACTTTTATTTATTAGATTATCAACACACAAATTATCAAATTATATAACAATAACAAGAGTCCTGTTATTTAATTTCAAATTTATTTTTGAAATGTTTTATAATTCTTAAATGTTTTTAGAATTCTTGTATAAAAAAGAACAATCATTTTTAACATAATAATAATAATAATAATAATAATAATAAACCTACAATCATGTAAATCACCATGTAAAAACTTTCAGTATTTAAAATATATATATATATATATATATATATATATATGAATAAGTGTTTTTTATACGTGTTTTTTCCCTTCATGACTTCATCTTAGTGATATTACCTCCACATAAAGTGATTTAATGTAATTTTAATACCATTTTTATTCAAATCATGTTTTTTCAAAAAAATATGTATATATATATATATATATATATATATATATATATATGTTTTGAAAATTATATAGTCTTGACAACATTTATTGGTGTTGTTTTTAACAAATCTACAATAATTGAATTCAAATCATTCAAAATATTTTGTGAATGAAAAATATTGCTATAAGAATTTTAAAATCATAGTTTTGCAAAAGTATTTTAATATTTTAATATTTCATATATATTAAATATTGATGCTAATATTGAGATTTGATATTCTTTGTAAGTTTTAATTAAATTTTTGTGCAAGCACATAGTAAGTGCCTAAATACCACGTCCAAAGCTATGGATTTTTATTTAATATTTCATGTATTTCTAACTATTCATAGGAATATCTTACTCTATGACCTAATTTATTTTAAAAGGTTAGAGTTCCAACATTTATCATTGATAATGATTGCATAATTTATCCCAATTACTTTTGGTGTAATTCAAACAAATTCAAGTATCCTGGTGTCAATGTATTTTACTTTTTAAAAAGATCATTACTATAACAAAAACCATTATTAATAGCACAAAATATGAACAAAAAATATTTTCATCCTAAAAGTAATACAAATTTTTCATTGTCAATGTCTAAGAAATTATGCTTTTATACAAGTCCAAAAGACAATTACATATAATCCAACTATTATACAATTATACTAAAAAATATACTACTTTATTAGGATTTTTTTTTTAAAACAAAACTCATAAATAAAAAATATTTTAAAAATATATAAAATTATCCAACAAGTAGTTTCTTAAAATTATAATGAAACCTTTTATATGTATACATATGCTGGAACATTAAGAAATTATAATGACAAGAAAACACAGCATTAACAAAATAAAATGACTAAAAAAAAAAGAGTTAATGATCATAGATTTATAATATAATTAGAATTTAATTTTCTAAATTTTGAAAGATCTTTTTTAAAAATAAAATCTATAAATTGCTCTTATCTTGATATATTTGGTAAGTTGTTTGATCAACAACTCAAAAACATCAGTTTTTAAATAAAAATGGTCATGTGAGTTTAAATAAATTATAGAATTAAGAAAAACAAATAACTTGTTTCAAAAGACAAGAGTGTTGTTGTGAAATTGTAATCAAGAGAGTTAAGGTTCTTTAAAGAAATGCAAATCATCAAAAAGATTCAAGAGAAAATTCATAAGTATCATATTTATCTTAATAAATGTTGTTACTAATGAACAGAAGGTATTCTTAGCTAATCACTTATAATCAAATCATTAAATGGATTTTGGTGATGAACCATTTCATTCCCATTATTTATGATCTGTAAAAACCCATGTACTTAATTTGAACAAAAAAAGTAAATAAACATTTTATTACCCTGTATTACATTATATTATATCGTTTACATTACCTTATTAGATGTAAATATCATAGTGGTTTTTACAACAAGTTTGTAGTTCCGTGAAGTTGGTTAGTTAATCATTGATTTGGAATTTTAAATAGAAATAGAAAAAAAATCCAAAGAAAGAAGAAAAAACTATATGTTATATGCATCTTCATTTACAATCTTAAAAAACAGTATTACATCAATATTCTTAGAAACACAATTACTTGTGATCACAATGTATCCATGATTTGAGATTGAAAGCTTGACCACTGAATCAAAAAGAATAAATGAAAAAGAGACAAATAAAAAAACGGATGTTAATCATGTTCAAAAGCACACTTCTCATTATTTGCTGAGGGTTTCACTTTATTGCCAATTATAGCCAAGTGAGCATCAAGATGGGGAACTCAGTGGGGAACGTTGAGAACTGGAAGGGTTGGGAACAAGGAGGACAAACGCAACGAACAGCATCCGTCACCAATAAGGATGAAATTCATAGACGATATATTTCATCCTTCCATTACTTCAGAGCTCTGGTGAACAGAAGTCTCCACGGACAGAACTCTTGACAAGGGAGACGTTAAGGCATTCATCCACATCCATCCGAGACACCACTTTCGCTTCAGCCCGTTGAACGCCGTCTCGTGGTCAGAGAGCTAAGGCCTACTTACCGACCAGCCCTGGTCCCGCCCACCGTGCAAGTATCCCAGTGATGGTCTCCCCGCCTTTCAGATCGATTGACTCAGAACCTCATCGGTCAGAGATATCCTCCACCAGCGACCGCACTCTAACGTTGGGGGTAATTTACCGTCTGATGGACGGAGAAAAAAAGTCATGGGCGACTGCTTTTCGCTCTCGCAACGCAGCGCGAGCGAGCGAGCAAGCGAGAGAGCGAGAGAGAGTAGGAAGGAAGTTGAAGGCGATGAAGACGATCATGGCCGTGAAGCGGTAGCCCTAGCCAACAAACAAGCTTCAGTAAACATCGATTTTATGCACCGAGAGATAGAGATTGGTGTCGCTTGTTCACTATTCGCTTGAAGATAGTTTACAGATTTTGTGGCTTAGGAGACTGGCTATTTTCTCAGAAGATTATTTGGTGCTGTCTGCGTCGATATCTCGTGGTGAGAGACAGATGATGATGATGGCTGCGAAGTCACAATGGGGATGAGTTCCGTGGAGCTAGGCTTCTTTTACGCAGACAAGGCTTTAGAGTGGAAGTGTTGTCTGGCCCGTGGAGGAGGAAGTTGAGAGGCGGATTTGACAGAGAGTGTTCAAGCGAAGTGTTGTGGAGGGGAGTGGAGCGGGGAGACGACGGGGATTTGTGGTGCACTTAGTGCTGGACAGGATTTATTTTATTTTATTTTATTTTTATTTTTAGTGACAGGGAGCATGGCGACAGCCGCATGGCAACCACAGGAGGATGGGTTGAAAGAGATTTGCGGATTGCTAGAGCAGTATCGTTTGCCTACTGTGGACCAGTCGCGCATCTGGCAACAGCACCAGGGGTGCAGCCAGCTGCCAGATTTCAACAATTATCTTGCTTTCATCTTGTGTCGCGCTGAGGTTTGTATTAATCACCGAAGCGATTAGTGCCGGGTAAATTTGATGAGGTAGCAGCTGAAATAGCGCAATTTTCAAATGATGGCAATCAAGTTTGATGATTGCAGTTCGATTTCACTTGAAATTGCGGAACCAGTTATGATTTGTTCTCTCTTTGTTCGGGTAGAGTTTAGTGCTGGAGAACTTCATGGTGTCTCCCTTTGCGGCGTACGGTTTGGTTTTTTCTCGAATTCTACCGGATTCTTATCAACCTTTTAGCTCCACACTATGATGAGTGCAGTATGCTAAATGCACGTAATTCTTTGGCCTTTTAGCCTCATTGGTGGATGTCGTTTCTGCGTTGCGAGCAACGTGTTATAGCCATTGATTGACCTAATTTTCGTGGGTGCATTCTCACAGTGGCAGTCTGATGTTGGACTATGTGGAAAGTCCTTGGTCCCTAGTCTCTGTTTTATGGATGAACTGGTTTTTCACTATGCGATTTGATTAGATCGATCTAGTTCATACCTTGGACTGATCAGAATTTATGACTTAAATCTTGCATAACTGCTTGAATTGATAGTTTAATGGTAATCTGCTATTTGTATTTTTGAAAAATAGCAGTGCTTATTGTCATCGAATGCCTTGGGCTAGTGAATTGCTAGGTCACTGGCATCATCGCTGTTCTCCTGTCGAGGGTTTAGTCATCCTCCTTAGTTGCATTATTCATGACTGCTGGTAAACTGTTTATTCTTTGCTCTTAGTATGTTCCACCTTTTTCTGGAGAGCTCATCCTGAACAAGTGGTCACCGGCCGGGTTGAAACTTTGATACCTTGTTATCTTTCAGGGAGATGCAGTCAATATTCGGCAAGCGGCAGGATTGCTGTTGAAGAATAATTTGAAAAGCAATTATCAGTCAATCCAACCATCTCACCTTCAGTATATTAAGGCGGAAGTGCTGCCCTGCCTCGGATCCTCAGATTTTGGTGTACGAACAACTGTTGGTACTATAGCTAGTGTTGTGTTGCAGCACGGAGGTTTTCAGTGCTGGCCAGAACTTTATCAGGCACTAGTTCAATGCCTGGATAGTAATGTCTACAATCACATGGAGGGTGCTCTCGGTGCTCTTTTTAAGGTTAATTCTATCCTTCAAGATCAATCTTGTTTTTAATTTCGCCATGAGAGATTAGAGCCAATTATTCCTGAAATTTATTCTTTTTTGAAAGGATGGTTTCAAGTTGCCAACGTCTCTGGCGGTCTTTCTGTAAATCCCCAAACTTACAGTTTAATATTACTGTTCAAATTTTTCGTTTCTCGGTCACCAGATTATGAACTGCATGCCATTGTTTTCACGTTTGCAAGCATGCAGTGAGCGCGTCTTGCGTTAAAGAGCAAGGTTATCTCTGCTTGGTTTGAATGATGATTAGTACTAGGGAGCGGTGGATAACTTTTGACTATCGATCTGGTGATGCTGTAGATTGCTGAAGATTTACCGGAGATGCTTGACTCCGATGTGCCAGGATTTGCCGACCGTCCTCTTGCCATCTTCATTCCCAGATTGCTTCAGGTACGAATATAAATTTTGAACTCTCTCTTGTCGAACATGTTCTTCATTTTGGGATTGAGTAGCATTAGGTGAAGCAAATATATATATATATATATATATATATATATATATATATTGTCTCGATCGGTAATCTTTCAACTTCTGATCTAATGCGCATTCGATGCAGTTTTTTACTTCTGAACATGCGGCGTTGCGGAGATTGGCATTGGGCACTGTTAACCAGTTTATCGTCCTTTTTCCCGCTGTAAGTTGGCACGTTTTGTCTTCATAATGAAACACATGCGAAGAGTGAATATGGTTTTTGTTGGTCTTAGTGGATAGGGTTAGTTCTTAGTGGACTTCAACTCAACTTTCAATACTATCTTTGCTGCTTACCATGTCTATCTTGATTGTCACTATTTTCTGATTCTTGTTCTTGAAGTTGTATTATGCATTGGCATCTTTATCTTACAGTAAACTTTTAAATTTAGGCACTATTCAGCAACATGGGGCAATACTTGCAAGGCTTATTTTCGCTAGCAAATGATAGTGTCGGAGATGTCCGAAAATTGGTACGTTTCTCCCTTATTTTTTCATTTGTTTAGAATTCATAATTTAGTCACGAAGTAAATGGCCAGTGCCTGTTGTGGCTAGGTTTAAATAGGTGGAGGTTTTGTAGATGTATTCATCCATTATTAGGTATTGAAATCATTTCCAGATCATTCTCGCATCACCTGATCATGCAGGTTTTTTCATCCTTGTTCTCCTGTTATATGGACAGGTTTGTGCTGCTTTAGTGCAATTGTTGGAAGTGCAGCCTAATGCTTTACAGGTTTGTATAGAGCATTAATAAGCTACCTTTATGTCTCAATAGTAGTGTCCTTTTTTTCTTTTTTTTCGAAATAATATTAGTAGATCTGAGAAAAGTGTTAATAGACCCCTGTTGGGCAGTGCACTATTTGACTGTGTCGTCTCGCGGTTGCCGAGTCAATGATGATCATCTTTGACTTGAGTTCTTCTCTTGTAATCAAGGGCTTTGCTTTCAGTGCATTATCATGAGTGTAGGTGACGTATGTATTGGTGAGTGCAGCCTCACATGAGAAATGTTATTGAGTACATGCTTCAAGCCAATAAAGATCCTGATAGGGATGTGGCGTTGGAGGCTTGTGAGTTCTGGTACGCTGATATGCTTGCACGTAGGGCTGCACTTCAACACTACAGTTCCTAGTTTTCCTTCTTTTGTATGCACTGCTGGACCATAACACAGTGTAAAATTTGTGTCCAGTGCTTACTTGCCTGTAGCTGTATATGATTAACTTAAGGTATTGCCTGTAGGTCTGCATTTTGTGAAGCGCACCTTCCTCCTGACCTGCTGCGAGAATTTTTGCCACGTCTTATTGATGTAAGTTAGTGCACTGTCTGATTTTTCTTAAGGATTCGATTGAAGCTTTCTCTTTAGGCAGCTAACCAGAACCTAAGACCTGGTGTCGAGCTTCAACTCTGAACACTGGAGGTGCAGATTGATCATGCATGCATTTGGTTACAGAACATTGTGTTGATCAGCCCTACTATTGAAATAATCCTTATAAATCGAAGTATTTGTTCTTACTGATATATTGTTGGTGTAGAAGTTGCGCCTGAGTAGAGGGCTCTAATGGTGACGATGATGGGTTTTAGTCCACTGAAATTTCAGTTGTGACTATGGATGTGATTGTGCTGACTGCCTTTTAATGATTTTGTTGTGGGTATTGCAGATTTTATTGGACAACATGGTATATGCGGATGATGATGAAGCGTTGCAAGATGAGGATGTGAGTCGCCATATTTCATAATCTCCGCCTGTGGTGGTTCTAGGTTTTCTAAGAACAAAATATGTCTTATGATTATTTCTGATGTGGCTTTTCCTATAGAAACTTACTAATGAAAATTCTTTATTTCTAATAAACCTCTTATTTTCTGTGTCATGTCGTTGACCTAAAACGTATCTTGCGTGCAAATTGCAGGAGGATGAGAATGCACCTGACAGAGACCAGGTACTGAGTATTTTCTGGTTTTATGTGTTACGATTTTCTCTGTAATGTTTCCAGCTCTACAGTGGCTACAAGTTTCTTGTTTTGTATTGAATCCTAGCAGTATGATTTTCACTGCCTTCAATTTGCTATTTGCTGATTAATGGGTCATGGTAGAATCTCATGCCAGCATTCAGTAACTTTAATTAATAACTGCTTGGTTCCATGCTCATCAGGATATCAAGCCCAGGTTTCATCAATCGCGGATAGTTGGGAGTACCGATGGTGCTGAAGAGGTTGAGGTGCAGCATTGTAGTGCAAACTTTCTAATCTACTGGTCCTTCTTCCGGGCTAATCGTCACTTCTGGTTATTGGGATATTTGGTCAAATAGTATATCAGAAGTACATCTTGTGCATCTTAACCCTTTCTCTTAACATAATTACTGGTTATATGTATCATTATTTTGAAGAACGGAAGTAGGGTAGGGTGAACTGAAATTCTAATCTGGTGATACAGCAGTGGAGTTACCCAAAGTAAGAGTAATAGCCTTTTGGAACGATAGTAAGTTTGGGAAGTATTTTCTTCGGTATTTTCGCTTATGTTACCGTGTGATTGCAGGATGATGATGACGATGATATTATAAATTCTTGGAATTTGCGGAAATGTAGTGCTGCTGGATTAGATATATTATCAACAGTATTTGGGGACGATATTCTCCCAATTCTCATGCCTCTTGTGCAGGTACATCCTTGTCCTACTCGTAGACTTTACTGAATTTGCAATTGATATTTTCATATTGCTTACGAACACCTGTTGCTGTAGGTGAGACTTTCTACAACTGAAGATTCGGAATGGGTACAAAAGGAGGCTGCAATTTTAGCCCTTGGTGCTGTTGCCGAAGGTTGCATCTCGGGCCTGTTACCCCATCTAGCACAGGTACTGGTCTTTTTACTTGTTGACCAAATATTTGGAGTATGTGTTCTTCTTTTTTGGACATTTTATTGGTGGTCAAGCATGGCAACTGAGTTGGGACGTCTTGCAATTTAGAGGGATATTTTTGTTCATTGATGTTTAAACGCAAGTCATTTGCTTGTATGTCTGGGATAGATGCACAGTCTGCCCAGATAGTAACGAAGTACTCCTTAAATCTTTTTGGTTGCGGACTTTGGTGTTTAGATCGTAGTCTATCTTGTATCATTTATGGAGGATACGCGGCCGCTTGTGCGAAGTATATCCTGTTGGACTCTTTCACGCTACAGCAAATGGATTGTTCGGGTACATCGTTGCTACAACATTGTATATTGATATTCAGTTTTTTTTTTGTTAATCCAAAACGTCATATATCATAAGTAAGTTCAACCGAGGGCCGTCGATGTTCAGTTGTGATATGTGTGGTTTAGTGAGCTTTGTACTGCCTCCTGCAAACCAGGTCGCACAGTCTCCGGAGGGGCAGCTACAGTTTGACGGAATTCTCACAGGGTTGCTCCGCCGCATTCTGGATCCTCACAAGCGTGTTCAGGAGGCTGCATGCTCTGCATTTGCAACTCTTGAAGAGGTGTTTGCTTCATCGTGTGTTCACTGTATGACATAAATTAGTTATCATTGGTTGAGTATTGCAGACAAGTGTTTTGGAGGGTTTTTTTTGTCGTCCTGTTCTTTTCAATCTGCTTATATGTACGTAGCCGCTAGAGTAGTTCTAATATGTCTATGTTTCATAACTTCCGTCCTTGATGCGCAAATTTCAGGAGGCTGCTGAAGATTTAGCCCCTAGGCTTGAACCCATACTGCAGCACCTTATGTACGCTTTTGGAACTTATCAGGTACGGATTTTGGGGTCATTTTGATAAGGATGTTATGTTACCTGTGGACACAGTCGACCATACATGCTCTTTATCTTGTTTTCATATGCATCTTCCACTGTGTATTAACAACTGGGGATAAATAAGTAAATGGCAGTAGTAAAAATATTTGATTCAGTAGGACCACTGCTCACAAGTTTATCAAACATCTGTTACATCTCATAAAGTCTATATTCCATTGTATTTTTGAGAAATTGTGCTACATTGTTGCCAAGATTTGCCTCATGTATTTTTTGTTGCAGAGGCGAAATTTGCGGATCTTATATGATGCTATTGGCACACTAGCGGATGCGGTGGGAAGTGAACTCAATAATGTAAGCTATTTCATTTCCTTGCCTTTCAAAGTTACGACTTCTAAATACAATATCTCTTTTACGCTTATGTCAAAGCAGATTGACAAATATAACAAAGGACGTTAAAAACATTTTGTTCTTATAATAGAACAAGGCGCTTTTTCTGTTGCTATTTGTTTGTACTAACGTTTTTACCAACTGTCATATTTTGTTTGCAGCCAAAATATTTGGAAATTTTGATGCCGCCATTGATTTCTAAGTGGCAGCAGCTATCAGACAATGACAAGGATTTATTTCCTTTGCTTGAATGTTTTACTTCAATAGCTCAGGTGTGGTTTCTTTGCTCTACCAATGCTGGCTAAGCTACGATTACTGCACCTTTTATAAATTGTGGTCTGTACATGCCACAGTTGAAATTGGATATGCAACTTAAAGGTCTCTCCTGCATAGGTCTGAACTAGAACTTATATTGTTGTATGATCATACCAGGCACTTGGTCCAGGTTTCATTCAATATGCCGAACCTGTCTTTATGAGGTGTATCAATCTGATTCGTACACATCAAGTTGCTAAGGTATGAGTGGAATGTTCTCTTGCTCATTATCTTTTCCCAGCATTTCAAAACGGTCATCCTAACTTGGGTTAGTTGAGAATATGAAGGTGTGTTACAGTACTTGTGGGATTATAACATGAAAGAAATATTTGTACTGATTCTGGGAGCCTCGTCTTTAGTATTTAATGTTGCAAGTACTTCTTTTTTATCTTACGATCCTTGCTTATTACAACTTACTAGAGCTTTTTACTGGTACGTATTGTTAGCATTGTGAGATTCATAATGAACTGCGTCTAATGCATTGTCCCCATTTTGGTGTAGGCCGACCCTCAGAGCGCAGGCGTGAATTACGACAAAGAATTTATAGTTTGTTCTTTAGATTTGCTCTCGGGACTTGCTGAAGGCCTTGGGAGCAGTATTGAGAACTTGGTAGATTTTAATCCATGACTTCTTAGAAGGGATTTATTTTTCAGCTCTCAGTTCTACGTCATTTGATAATTAAAATTGTTTTCCTCGGTTTATTGCGGGAGTTTATAGTTTTAATTTTTCTTTTACTGGACAAGTTTACTCGCCACTATTTGCCGGGCAGAGTGTGTTGCAGTTATACCGAATGTAGTCCCATTGTATGACCAATTGGTATGATGCAGATACTAGTGGATGACTTATGGCGTATCTTTTGATATGGGTGTACTTTTTCTTGTTCTATGTGGTACAGGTTTCAAGAAGTGATCTTCGGGACCTCTTATTACAGTGCTGCACTGATGAAGCCCCAGACGTACGTCAGAGTGCTCTGGCCCTCTTGGGTGACCTCGTCAAGGTATGGAGCGTATCTCTCAGAATTGTTTTGGTATCTGGTAAATTCTTAAAATTATTGTCAAAGTTTTTTAGATTATATTGAACGCCAATTCACCATCTTTTCTTGTGTTACCTCCTTTTAATTGACAAATAGAGTATGTCTGCTGACGAAGGCACTTTGTTTGGATATTTACAGGCTTGCGCTGTGCATCTGCAACCCCGACTTGCAGAGTTTCTAAGTTTAGCGGCGAATCAGCTGGTAAATAGCATTCTTCTGAAACTATTACAATATTTGTTTTACACTTTTTTTCTGTTCTGAACTCATTCATTGTTGTGGTTGCATAGCAGGGACAAAACGTAAAAGAGAACGTGTCAGTAGCCAACAATGCATGCTGGGCTATTGGCGAAGTGGCCATCAAGGTTGGGCTCTGTTCATTTTATTTCCTGGTTAATCAACATTGTAGTTAATTTGTTCTTTGTTCTGAAAGATCCTTTGAGACGGACGTTAAGAACATTATTAGCTCACCTATTCAGCTTTTTGTGTGCTGGATCCTTTATAACCAACGTTAAATGTTCGAACCCTTAGAAGGTTGGTGGTAGTTTATTTGACTGTTTACCTTTAAACGTCAGTCTTTATTTGCTCGTCTTTATTTTAGTACCAAAATGATTCGTATACTTTACAATTTTGTAGTCAGTATGAGTTGCCCACAATAGTTATGACAATTCAGGTTAGGAGCGAAATTTCGCCAATTGTGTTGACAGTTATCTCTCCGCTGGTGCGCATCCTTTCCAATACCGAGGTACGTTTACCCCCGTCTTCTTTTCGCTTTAACACATGTCTTTTCGCTTTGAAGGGTAATAATAATGGTTCTGTATTATTTCCTGAGCTATTCTATATTCCTTGCTGTTGATTGATTCCACGAGCTACACGTGCAGGGTCTAAACAAGTCACTCTTGGAGAATAGTGCAATTACCTTAGGAAGACTGGGATGGGTTTGTCCAGAGATCGTTGCTCCTCATATGGAGCACTTCATGCAGACCTGGTGCCGTGCGCTTTGCACGTAAGGATTTGATTGTAACTTTGCTTCTCTTTCTGTAGTAAGAATCCTCTTAGTGTCAGAGCTACCTAGCTGGAGCAAGTTGTTCAAGATGTATTTATCTGGGAATGAACATTCTGTATCTATTTTGTTACTTGTTCAATCTCTTCAACTTGGTTTTACCGTTTGATCGTTCTTTCGTATCAGTTTTAAACTACTATTTTTTCTTTTCTTCTCAGGATACGAGATGATTTTGAGAAAGAAGATGCTTTTCGAGGCCTGTGTGCTATGGTATATTTCGCAGATCACAACCAACCAGGAACATATCCGCATTATCGAAAGCCATTTTTTAGATTGACAAGATGCTTTCATAGAATTGAAGGAAATTTATTAAAAAGTGTCGACTAATTGATCGTGTGGGGTGGTATATTAGGTGCGGTTGAACCCCGGCGGTGCTGTGAGTTCTTTGGCATTAATGTGTGAAGCTATCGGTAGCTGGCATGTAAGCACATTCGTCTTGCCCTTGAATTGACTCAAGTAGGTAATTTGGTATTTGCGAATTGCACATTGCACTTATCTTCTATGACTCTAGAATATATTAATCTCTTCCAACCTCTTATTTTAGCTGATAGTGTCTTGGTTCTGTTGCAATGACACAATTGTACGTAACGGAGATTTAACATACTAAAATAGGTGGTGTCTGTTATTTGTATCGTTGATTGCGATTGTAATATAGGAGATTCGGAGTAAAGAGCTTTCTTCGGAAATTGCCCAAGTGTTACATGGATACAAACAGGTATGATCTAAAAACGTTCTTATCAAATATTGGAATTCTTACTTGCAAAGAATTACCATGTCTTGAAGCAATCAACCTGACATCAGATCCTAATATTGCAGATGCTGTCTCAATCCAACTCTTGGGAACAGTATTTTGGAACTTTGGATGGGACACTACGTGAGAAGCTGGTAAAAACGTATGGTCTTTGAGGATAGCAACCAGCTGATCGGGTCTCTTAAATATATTGGAGGCATCTTGTGCCAATCCTGCTCGTTTGCTGCGCGCTTGGATGCACATGGCTCACTCAAGTGTGGCTGTCCCATCAAGAGATTGTCAATATTGAGGAAATATAGATCTACCCTAGTTACCAACACCAGAATCGATGTGGCTTACAATTTTAGTCAACCTGGCCCGCATATTCTAGAACTGGTTGTTTAGTGGTGGATCTTGAAGGGTCTGGTTAGCATTTGTTATCTGGTTAGCATACGAAGTAAATGTCAATAGATCCTGTTGATGCTGTCGTTGAGCTTTAGCCAGGAGCCCATCGAATTTGAGACCTTGGGCCACCTAGTCTTAACTACAAAAAGGGTGCAAGAGTTTTGTGTTACGAGGAGGTGATATGTGGCCACATCAACCAGTGTAAATGTAACTGAGGTGAGAGGATGCTTAGTTTCAATGTAGTACGTCGTACCTCGGGGTTGTTGCACCGACCCATATACGTCCATTCGAGGGTATTATTTTTGAGTTGCCTTGTGCTGGTATATCAAGTTGATGTCGCACTGATGAATCTAGTCCGACGTGCTACCAGTGTACATTCCAACATTTGGAGATGTATACTCACCACGTAGTTGTAGCAACCGAACTTGCTAAACGTTTCTATTTGTTTTTAGAAAGGAGAGGATTCTTCGCATTTGTAATGTACCACCCAAATGTCATTGCATAACCATTCTATTCTAAAAGTTGTTGTATGAGAAGAAATATATTGTGTACCGATTATTTAATCATTTACATTAAATGAATTTGATGAACACTGTTTGAAAGATAATGTGATATGTATAATGTATTGAATTACTCTCTGAACTATATTTTGATCAAAATAAAGTCAATATTTCCAAATTTTCTTGTGCCTAGGCTACTAATTTGAAGCACGAATCTACACTACAAGTGCTGACATTGAAATGTTATCAGAATTAGTGCCTTCACTACGCTTAGAAATGACAGGCATCTTCAAGATGCAGCCCATCTTTACCATGGTGAGACTTATCCAAGTCTTGTGTTCCCTGGAGCATTTCCACCACATCTTGCATGGATGGCCCCTCTTCAGCTTCGCTTTGTAAGCAAAGAGCTGCAATCTGCCCCATGAAAAATGAGTAAATAGTTAGGGCGCACAACATTGGGACCAGTATTGAATCATTGTGTTAGAACTAATTAACACCAGGGCAGTACCTGCACGAGTCTTGCAAGCTTGTCCTCTCGATAATTGCCTTGCAGTTTTGCATCCAGGAGGTTATGAAATTGTCCTTCTTGCAGTAGAGGCTCAGCCCATTCCCTTATAGCTTGCTTTTCTCCGCTAACTAATTGCCCGGCACGCTTCTTCCCACTTATGAGCTCCATCAGCAGAACACCGAAGCTGAAGACATCCCAGATTTCCGAGGCTTTTCCCGACTTGGAATCTGAGTATACCGAGATTGCTTTCGGTGCTGTAACTTCGGGGATGAGCATGGCCAAGCCAAAATCGGCTACTAGCGGATTAAGCTTGTCGTCCAAGAGAATGTTGCTAGACTTGAGGTTGCGATGAGTAATGTTGGGTGTTGCAGAATGATGCAAGTAGCTGTAAATTAGAATCCAATTTCATCAGAGTAGGAAAAGCAATCAGTATTCCTAATCACACCGTGGTTTTGAGAAAGGAATTAGGGTTAGAAAAAAAGTCTTCAATGAGTTTCATTGACTTACGCGAGAGCTTCAGCGGTACCAAGTGCAATGTTCATTCTTTGCGCCCAGTCCATGGTGGAATCAACAGCCAAGTGGCCATGTAAGTGCGAGTAGAGGCTGAAATTTGGCATGTACTCATACACGATCAATCGCTCCTGTCCCTCCGCGCAGTAACCCAGCAGACTTAACAGGTTCTTGTGTCGAACTCGGCCGAGGATCTCAATCTCCACAGCGAAGTCCCGATCTGCCTTGGCACTCCACACCTTCAACCTTTTCACTGCAATCTGCACAAAGGTTTCTACATTTGGTTGAGGCCTCAACTTTCAAAATCATTGTAAAGTCGGCACCCACATTCAGAGTGCTGACAAAAGAGATTTCTCATGCCTAGTTAATGGCTTAAGCCTGCCTCCTCCGACATACAATGAAGTTGATGCCAGAATGTTTCTTCCTCTATTCGCTTCCAGTGAGAAGTCTTACTCCAAGCTCGGGCGACTGTTCATACGCGGCGCATTTCTAGATCTGAGCATGTTGTCTAGTGTGACATGAAGTAGACAAATGTAGTCAGTAAGATCATCGGTTGGTTGGAAGGCAGTGCAAGTCGAAGAGATAGCTCTTGTAAACATGACGTAAGAAATTGATATACCTGGTCGCCACTTGCAAGCTGACCCCAGTAAACGCTACCTATTACACCTTCCCCGAGTTTATTGTCGTAGTTGAAATTATTCGTTGCCGCGCACAACTCTCCTAATGAAAATCTGCGCCATGCTCCAGGTCTCTTGACACCCCCTATGGGTCTGCACAGACTGCATTCGTTCACCTCATTCATAAGCCCTAGCACAAGGCTTTACCCTCTACTAGAGCACTCTCGTCACAAAACAAAACAAAAAAAACAGTCGCCTCCAGAGTCCAGTGTTTCGGATCTGAACAAGGAATGAGGATTAAAGAATAACCTGATGGATAGATCGCGCAGAACACTAACCACATCTCATTACAAGTCTCACTATTTCGCACACCCTCGTGAATTGGAACAGAGGAATGAACTTGCTATCTCTAGGAATTTCATTGGGTTCCACAAGCAACTCTCGTCGCAGAGTCATCTCCGAATGTGATTGAGAGGACGTACAAAGCAACATCGAAGCAAGCAGAGTAGATTCAAGCTTTACTCTCAAGAGGTTAGATTCACTAAAGCTAAGCTTCAGTTGTGCTTACCTGCTGTGATCAAAAGGCCTGTAGCACCAATATTTCGCCCAGAAGTTACTCCGCGCCATCTTCTCCCTTGCATACAATTTATCAACTGCACCACACCTTGTTCCTGACAAACTCACCGACTCGATCGCATCCCTGTCTTCCGAGCTCAGATGTGAAACTACCACCAGTACACGGACGGATTGCATTCGAAACCGTAACGCGCACACCAAATGCGGCGAATGGACATGATTGCGGAGACACTCATGGTCCTTGCGTAAGCCCGATCAACACCCAATACACTATTCAAACTCAGTTTTTCTCGCGAGCAGATCAACAAGACCGAGGCAGACTGGCTGCCAGACAATGGGGTGGTGTGTGCGCAGCTTTGGTCCTGTCACGCTTTGGCAGACTGTGGAGGTCATGTACACCCCAAGCTTCAACTGGTATCAGTCCCGTGGGGTGTGATCCTGGGCTCTGGCTCTGACTCTGGCTCCGCTGTATCCTCTGGCATCGCGGCTGTGTGTGTGTGTGTGTGTCAGAGATGTCTCGATTCGAGCACGTCACAAGATACGAAGCACGCCATTGCACGACTTCAGCTGGCGGGGAAGCCAGGGACACCAGGCACCCTATGGCTCAGCACCCATTTGCAGCTCATCGACTAATCGCAAATAACGGCAGCTAGATTCGGCGGATTTTTTGATGACGACGAGCACGGAATCAACATTGCAAGATTCCGGGACTTCCCTCGGCTCTCTGCACAAATATTGCATTTTCACGCACTTTAAAGAGTTTTCTTGACTTTGTTTCCGACATGCTGTCGAATCCTGAGCTGAATCGGACCAGTTAGGTTTTTTCAGGTATAGTATTAGACATGTTCTTTGAGCCTTGTAATCCTTCTCCTTAGTCACATGCACACAACAATAGTATGTGTTATTAAGTAGGAGGTATAGTCAATGTCCAGTTTACTAGATTTCATATTAGTGCTATATTCTTGTAGAGATGTTGGTCGGATCCAGAAGATTTGTTGTAAACATGGATCATTTGGTTAAATGTTATGATAAATGTTCATTCAGTACATTTCGCATTTTGCCCTTTAAAGCGTCGGTATGCACGTACGTAACTAAGGATTCTTGCTCTTTACATTATCTACAACCTAAAATTGAATGTTAAATAGCACTGATGTCACAAGAACGGACAACGATGAAAAGAGATTGAGGTGATCATTATTCAACAGGCATAATTCTAACCAATGTCATAAGCATGATATGAGAGGGAACATCAATAGGCAGGGTAACCTCTGGAAAAAGATCATAAATGGCATTTAATCGAAGTGGAATTACAATAGATTATGGTGAGAGAAACACAAGTTCAGCAGTCATGAAGTTGCAGGTCCATCTCCGGGTTCAATCAAACCTGAGCTAACTAATTAAAAGGGTGAGAATGGAATTCAAACCTTCCTTGAATCACATCACACCGACTTTCCCGTACAGGACTACGGGCCCAGAAAGAAAATTCCTAGGCAAGCGAATAGGAATAGAAATCTGTACAGGCTGAAAAAAAACTTGCATGGATGGGTCCGAAACAGGTGCAATGGTCACTCTAACCACCCATGACAACAGTATTCCACGAAGGCCAAGTTGACTCGAAGTAAAATCCGGCTGTGTCGAAGTTCAATGCCGCTCCCATCAACGTGATTCAACTCCTGAGTTAGCCAGCAGCCAGAAAAATCCTTGCCTAGCCCACAAAGCCTAAGGCCAACGTTGCTCCCTAGATATACAGTGCTGAGTAGGTCCCCGCCTTATACGAATATGTGTGTATATATCTCTCAATTAATGGTTAGTAGAGTCAAGCCTCTTCAGGCTTGGTCGGTCGTAGTAAGTGTTCCGTGGTAGGACGTCAAGCAAAAATGGTCCGACTTACAGCTGCTCTTCTACTTGCCAAAACAGTGCTTCAGCCGTCGGATGTACAACTCCCATTAGGTCTGCGTCACTATGTGCTGCAGTTGCGATCCGAGACCTCTGCAAACCCAAATAATATCCTGTATGTTGCAGCTTGAGCAGAGTCTTACGCTTAGCAAGCTAAAGACGCATTTCAATAGGGCAGGTATCCTCGACCCATGATTCACTAATCAGAACAAAATGATTTCGTCATCTAGAGCGTCTTTGGAGGGATGGCACGAACCTACATGATGGCCGACTTAGTGAGGGTCGTAATCTGAGTTTAATTACTCGGGGCATCTCTGTGTACCCGGACAACGGGGTTATTGTCTGAGACTTATCAACATGTTAACTCCGGCGGTTTCAGGATGTGTCGGCGCGGGAGAGAAATAAGTTTTAGTGCTCGCAAATCGTCCTGAGACGAAACTCAGGGGCGTCGTTTTCCAGCAACCGATCTTCTCGCCCGCTAACTCAGAACCTTAGGGCATGCAATTAAGTTTTGACTAATCCGACTTAAGGCTCTCTTCAGTTCTGGTCGTATCTCCATCCAAGACAGTATGCGCCTTGTCCACCATGTGCTGTTTGAGTATCTCGACGTCTGTGATCATTTCGGCGGTGTCGCTACGCACCCCGACATGGTCCTCTTCATGCGCAGCATTTATGTCAGTCAAATGTGATTGTTCACGATCAGAACCCATGGACATTGCCTCAACATCTCCGGTCGTTCTGGTGTCGAGACCAACTTGCGAAGAGTTCGGTACCGACAAATTCTGCTTGATATCTCTAGCCGATGTGGATTCCTCAGTTGTGACCAGTATGTCAACAGCTAACTGTTGAGGCGAGACATCTTCTGAAATACTAACTACCTGAGGTTCTGGAGAGAGCACCGATTCCCCGGGACTTATATCTGACATCTCCAAAAGAGCCGGACGTGCCTCAACGTCTGACTTCACCTGTGAAGTCGCCAGCAGTACCACCTCTTGCGGCTCTGAAACCATGGGAGAAGTCGCGGGAATTTCAGAATTAGTATGTGAACCTTGGAGAGGCACCGTCTCTGGCTCTGGAGTGGTCCCTAAGTCTTTGCAATGACCATTGGCTGGTGATTTCGTACTACTGGATTTGTCAAGCATCGATGAAATCCCTGCGTCTGCGTCTGGACATTTTTGCTCCAAACTTTCCCTCAAAAGGTTCTCTTCCCCTTCCATAAGCTCAGTAAAAGGTTCGAAATGAGCAGCCATTTCTAAGGTCTTCGCAGCTACTCTCTGACGCACAAACTCCTCAGAAAGGTAGGCTTTCTTTTCCTCAAGAGCCCCGGAGTATGCCTCAAACTCTGACTCCAAACTCTGACGCTTAGTACACACATCTAATTTTTCAAGATCTTCGTCTAAGAGTGACGCTTTCGCTCTCATCAGCTCAGAAAATGTCTCAAACTCGGTTTCCATTGCTGCTTGTTTCACGTTACAGACTGAAATTTGCTCAATATCTTCATCGAATAAAGAACCTTGATCAGTTGTGAAGGCTTCAGCATAAGGCTCCGGCTCTGGATTAACAGAAACCTCTCGCTGCACCTAGCAAGACGAAAAACTCGTGTCAATAATTCAGCAGCAGACAATCCCGGAAGTTCGTAAAAGATGCCGTACTCTGAGAGACGAGAGGTTCCAGCTAGATAATACATCAATCACCTGGACTTGGACCTCAGCCTGCGCCTGGTGTACAGTGTATTTGTCCTGAACTACATTTTTCACGTCCTCTTCACGGGCGATTCGTTTGAGCTCTTCGCTCTCTTTCTGCTCAATTCAAACAATGTTAGGATCGATTTCGAGATCGCAACCAAGAAAAATACCTGTACATAGCAAATCACTTCTGACAAAATACAAAAGAAAAAATCGATGATAGCTTGTGTGATTATAAAGCAACCTGCTGATGCTGAAGCTGAGCCTTCAAGTCCTCGATGATTTGCAAGTGTACAGACCTTTCCAACTCTAACTCCTCCAGGCGTCCCATTGGTTGAGCCTGTAGTGCATCACCAAGTTATTCAGGTCGGCAAGAGAGAGTCAAAACAAGTAAAAGTCTCTTCCATGCATTGCTACCGCCATTCAAAGATATTCATACAGCTTCAAGATTAAATTTACCTTGAGGAAATCCAAGTCTTGCTGCTGCTCTTGACAGCGGGCACTAAGTTGTGCGACTTGTGACTTCAGCTGCTCCACTTGTCTGCAGAGGGATTGACGAACAGTGTGAAACCAGACGCAGAGGAAATCGCATTTTAATAACCTAGATAGTCACCTAAAACTTTCTGCCTAGATCGCGGCAGTTTGCCCTACCTAGTCAATGCCGAGTTGATCTCCAAACAGGTGCTCAAGTCGTTACAGCAGATCTCAAGTTCCTTGCGGTACTTGTCTGCCTGAACAATCAAGAACGAAGGCTCCTCAGAATGCATTCTCGGGCTCTGAGGCGTAGAGAGTCTCAATGACAAGTTATCAAGTCTAGTCTACAACAAATAGAGCAGAACAGAGTCGATACAAAAAGAAACGGAGCTTTTTCTACAAGATAGAGCGAGGGATAGTGTCCAGCTCAGTAACAAACCTGTGCACTCGAAAGAGCCATAGCTCCCTGTTCAAGGGCGAGCTTTGTTTCTGTCATTTCTAGTAACTGCCAATCGGTGCCAATGTCAGAACAATGAAAACTACGTGTAAGTTAAGTAGATCAAACAGACGATTACTCAATAATACGTAGTCAGAAACCCCCCTCTCAAACCCCGACAAGAGAATATGCGAAGAATAACCTGGTCTCTAAGATTCCCAATGTCTTCCATAATAGTCGCACGCTCTCCGTGCTCATAGAATTTTTGAAATCTGTTAACAAACCGATGAGTTGAGAAGCAGGCAGGTATCCCGCACCGTTTCCATCCATTATCGCGTACAACGTCCTATGTCAATGATCAGTAAAGAGCAGATCCATAAATAGATTAGATAACGCAAGAGTAGGTCCAATTCTATACCCTCGGAGTTGTTCCAAAAGTCGAATGTTTTCCATTGCAAACCGGGTGAGTTCTGGATTCCGCTCCACTTGTAATCTTACAAGATCAAGCTCCTCAGCCAATTTCTTGTTCTCCTCAATCAGATAGTGGTCGACTGGCAGTTTTCCGCCCACCACTGCTTCTAATCTGCGTATCTTCTCGTCTCTGAACCGAAGAATCATTCTACTGCTCTGGGTGTTCTGATCACGCTGTTGGATCTGTTCCGAGACAGTCAACGTAAGCACAAGCAAAGCCAACCATGCTCATAACAATGAACTGGGGAACAGCTACAGCCACACGATCAGTTTCTCAATGGGTGATGTACATCATGCGCACAACATACTAAATGTCCATGATGTGGGATTCAACTAGCTCTATCGACATTAAACAGGTAGTCCTACAGGTATTAGAATGAGACAGCATTCTTATTTGTCGGAATACAGTGTAGAAATCACGACTTACCAGAGTTTGCAGCTGGTCAATTTCGGTGGCATATCGTTTAGCTGCCAATTGAGCCTGCTGCTCTCTTCTCAAGGCAGAAGTAAGCGTAGCCTCGATAGCCCTAATCTGCAGCACCAGAATGCGAGTAAGGTGAGAACCTAAATAGAAGTTTAACAAACAAACTCGAGATACAGTGTTTGTCCAAGAGCGATTCTTCAATACCTTTAAGAGTAGGTTGTTTGAGCTGATTGTAGGGGCAGGATTCGCAGCAACCACATTAGGGTGATCGCCTTCTAATGGAAGGATTGCCGAGACGTTCTGACACTTCAGGTGGTTGATCTCTTCCTGTTAAACACCAGATCAAGAGAAATCGAAAAAAGGATTGTTAGGTAGATGACGGCGAGTTTCATATAAAATGTGCAAGCCTTACGCTTCATTTCTATACGAAGAGATAAAGATATCGTACTAGTGCCAACCTTCAGTTGCTGGATTTCACGACGTAAAGCGCTAACATCCCCTGAAGAATCCTCATTGATATGAGCCTGGACAGAACAGATAGACCATCAATACCACGCCAGAGCCTCCGTCAAAGACTGTTCGAGATTCTGTAGTGCTGGTGAGATTACTTACACTGTTTTTTATTAACTTTGCACGCTGGGCAAACTTCAGAGTACTCATGGTCTCCAGAGCATTCCTGCGTGTAACACCAGAGTCATCTTGAGTGAAAGAATTGATTGACAATTATTGACAAGGACTATCCCTCGACTATACGAGGACACACTTCACCTCAGGGCTAGATACTTAAGTGGGAAAGGTCTTTCAGCTATTCCCAATCCTAGAGTGCTTCTGAATAATAGCTGAATTCTCCATCTCAGGTAATCCTCGACTTGATCTACTCTATGTTAGATGCAAATACGATATGCGACAGTTCAAAACATCTGACTTCTCAACCCTAAATGTGGAAAATCGATTGAGAAGGATAAGTACCCATTGGAAGGGCTGATTGTGGCGATAACTGTTGTCTTCGAATTCCCACCAAGTGAATCCTACAGCGTGTGCATTGAGCCACCCGGTAAATATCGACGGCATCATTCAAGAGTACACATGCTACACTGGGAGTAACCAAAAGCAAAATTCTCCATTACATGTGCACTACGTTCAGATGGCAAGTAAATGAGGTTTCTGAATTCAGTAGTGAAAGACCTGCAGTAGGAAGGTCAGTTTTGAATCACGATACGGGACATGGCGCTGCTTCCCATTTGCGATATCTACAAGTGTCATGATGACCAACCTGACCACAGTTCCACCATCAGAGAGTTAAGACACAGACAGCAACTATTGATAACTTTGTTGTTGGAAGGTAAACCGTCGGTCGCTATGTTCGAAGCAGACAAATAACTAATCCGAGTTTGAAGAGTCAGTTGAAATTGATGAATTTCATACCCGAGTGTTGATAGAGATTTATTGATGTTAGCGGCTTCTTTTAGACGATCACCTTCAGCCCCTGAAGACTTCTGTCTGTAGTGGAATAAACAACCCACAGCAGGGTAGCTTTAGACATTGGAGGTGATTCCGTCTTTACGTTGAGGGCACCAAATCAATTGATTTCTGAATAATTGATTTAGGGACTGAAGATTCGAACCTCTCCGATCCGGCAAGATCTACTAAATTCAGACGTCCAAATCTGATGTTGGTCAATGAGTTGGCCTGCCACTGCATGAAGACATTGTCGCGAACCTCAATAATGCTTCTGTGTTACACGATGTAAACGTGCCAAAGGGTAACAAGTGCTAATCACGTGGAAAGAACTGTTCACTATATAAGGTAGTGAAGCACGTCCACCTACAAAAATCTTATATTCAATTATCCATACCTTGCTTTCGACAGTGCAAGCGAAAACGCTGTGCGACCTACTACTCTCTCTATTCATGTTTGTCGCCGCAACTTTCCTGTTGGAAGCACCCTGAGATTGTGACAGAACATGAAGCATGAGAAGTGATGTTCACAATCTGCGTTACCACATGCGGATGATATTCGAACCAAGACAGAGAAACTCACTTGAGTTAGTAACTGCACAACGTCGTGGACAGATTTGACCTCGACCTCTTTCAAATTCTCCACATATACTCCAGTCTTCACATCTTCTCGAATCTGTACGCAGATCGAAAACGTAGGATACTGATGAATTTAGCTGCGAAAGAGGAAAACACTTAGAGTACGACTGAAGCCGAGTTAACTCAGAGACAAAAAAATTACCTGTAGGTTGATGGACGTGGGGTCTAACAAATCAGTGATGTGCTCGTTGTATATCTCGAGAAACGAGCATTTGCACACAAACCTTAACTGCTCTTGCTCCCTAAGATTCTCTTCCTGCACAATTCCCCCAGGATGAATCCTTCAAAATTCCAGGAAGCAAAGAAGGGCACGGTATCGGGAGCATATTCGAAGAACGATAAAATCTGCTTGAGGTAGTACTATCACGTTAAACACTTACTTGTTGGATCCTAGCAAACAAGTATTCAAAAACGCGAGGAGTCATCCCACGTTGGAGGCTTGGTCGAATTGCCAGGTCGTCAATGTCACCGAGCATTGTGTGCGTCTTTCCACTCCCTGTTTGGCCATAAGCAAACATACAGCTGTTGTATCCTCGCATGCAATTTTCCACCATTGGTGTACCAGCAACTCTAAAGAGGTCTTCCTGCAAGTCAAGTAAGCCCGAGCCAATGAGCTCACTTACTAAACTGATACTGGAGTGATAATTCGAACATCAGATCGCAATTCAAGTATGAAGCTTGCTACATACCTGCGTGATAGACTCGCCAGCAACATGATCAAAAGAGAAACGAGTCTGGGGTTGACCGAGCCAGGTTATGGTGTGGGGACCATCTTGTCGAACACATCTGGAGAAGCCCTGCCCTGATACCTCTGAGGCGCTAACTGGACGGACCCTAACCAGAACCTGCACTCCGTCATATCACGAGCTCAGCATAAAATCCAACAGAAGACGACCCGGAACGTTGGAACAGAAATTCCAGATGCACAAAATAAAACAAACTAGTGCTGTTGGCAACGAGATTACTGTACATTCTACAGTCCGATGATCGTATGTGCACCTGCACGTTATGATCATTCCAGAATTCGGGGTCTTCTTGTAATTCGAAGGCCGGAGCACTCTGCTGAAGACTAACAACTGAATTTGAGATTGACAAGACTTTGGAGGTACAATTCCCTTGTGCATGCTTTCCTGGACGAGGGATATTCTTGCTAGGAGTAGTTCTTGGAGTGCTTGAAGCGGATTCGGTATCGGATCCCATCTTGCTGGACGTGGTAAATCCCGAGTACAGGCTGCTACTAGCACATGATGGAATGCTGAGGTCTGAGCAGGTGGAGGACGCTGAAGATGCTGTATCTGAAAAGTGATTGATCAACTCCAGCCCTGACTCTCTAGGATTATGCTTCGGAGAGCCACAACCCATAGTTGAAGGTGCCCTCAGCCCTAAAGGACCTGCTCAAATTGAAGACTACAAGAAGTTATTAAGAGTGCGATATGATATCACCACTTCTATACGAAATTGTGGTGTACAATTTCACCAACCCTAATTACATGTGTCACTAACAGTCGATTCCGTTAGCATCGGAGTACGAATTCAGTCGTGAAGTCCTCGGATTAACAACATCCTCGGCAAGGAGACTTACACGGCTGTCCCAAGCTCCGCACTGTGAGTACCCTGATCTACAACCCACCAACGGTTGTCCTAATTGAAAACAATTCACAATTGAACCATCGAAACTTCAGAACGACAGACAGAACGTTGAGGTATCATAACCGGCAGTTTGAAGAGGTCATGCAGTACATCTTGTGGCGAGCATTGGCTTGGACGGCCATTCAGGACAGAACTCACCCAGGGTCAAGTAAAAAACTCAAGCTGCTCCTATTTGGGAATTGACTCACGTCTATTGTACTACTACAAGCAAGACTCGCAGGTTTGAAATCATAGAAAGAAGCAAATCGCGACATCAGAACATTGGTCAATGCGGTTTGGGCAAAAGAATCTAGTTCGTCTGGTGGACAGCTCACCACAGTAGATTACCTGAAGAGGAAGCTCCAATGGCATACTTGAAAGTTCTGGTTGTCTTAGCTACCATTGTCATACTAACTTAGACCCTTCTCAGCTTCGACGATCTGGTAGAACAATGGTTGCCCTAAGTCATTGACGAAGCGAACTCGTGGACATGTGTCTAAAACTGAAACCTTGACAAGCTAATCACCTAATACGATAGTTGCATAGAGCAAGTGTGAGAAGAGGAGCTGGACACTCGTTACCATCAACGAGGTGCGAAAATTCAAATTCCTCGCCGCATCAAGACGTGCGCGGATTGAAACTTTGAATCTCTGTGGCTCTAATCACGATTGCGAGCTTCGAACACAGACGCATTCACCAGTCGAAATTCCATAGACACGTGTAGGGTTGATCCACATAACTCGAAAGAGTAGTCTCCGGAGAGTTGTTACGAAACACAAGTCTCACACTCTCCTTGGATTCTGGGAAACGTACACGAAGTATCCGGGGGTTCATACTCCGTCACAAACGCACGAAGAAAGTCATAGCTCTTATTGAATAGTTCCTCAAACCCGAACAATCAACGATGAAGATCTGCAAGAACGGTTATCGAAGCTAAGACTCCAGAATCCAATCCAAGTCCTTCCTCTCAACATCGACACGCTAATGAAGCAGGAGCTCTTAAAGAATGCTCATCTACGTGCATATTGAATCCGAAGCCTCAGTGATGAGACCGCGGCAACAGACACGAGGAGGATGCAAGAGGATTGGCTGTACCGAACACAGGTCCTTTGACTGGAAAACTGCCCTTAGGATTTGTGGTCAGAATCTACTACCGAGAGAACCAAATAACCAGGGCCCAGCCGAGGCGCATGGCTTGTGACAGACCGAAGACGCAGAAGACAACCTACGCTAGGAGAGAAAATAGAGGAAATAAATGGCTACCAGAGGCTGGCTCCTCCTGTTGCTGAGCTTGCTGCCGGGTGTTGATCCACCCAAATCTTTTCTTGCTTGAACTCTTCGGAGTGGACGGGGCAGCAAACTTATGGTCCGGAGTACCCGGCGGTAAGATCGCAATATTTTCCACGTACTCCGTGCTATTGCTTTTTTGAGAAAAAGACGATGGCGGCATCTGGCTCTTCTTCAACCCTTGCAATGTGGGTGCTGAGGTCGGATGAACGTGGTTGCCGAGACCTTGTTGCTGATGAGCGACTGCAGCGACTTTGTTTCGAGGCCTCACAAAAATTGGAGACAGTGGAGCCCTGTTGTCCATGTCTGCACCTGCTTCACCGGATGGAGAGGCCGCTTCTTTCACAGAGAACAGCTTCATGACTGGAGACTTCTTGCCCATTCTCACAAGCTCGGCACAGGAGCTCTTCAGCCTACAGATGGAACTACTAGATGAACTGAACGATTACTGTATACGGAAGAACCATTCACAAAAAATATTTTCCGCACACTCCAATTGCTCCTGTCTGTGAACCCACTCACTAATCGAATTCATCAAGCAACTCTTTCGACGTCACACCCTACTCATAATGTGCAATTCAAACCGATCCTCACAACTTCAAGTCAATGAAACTAGGAGGAAATTAGAACGATGGGAATATGGATCAGAAAACTCTGACCGAAATCACCGATGCGAGGAAAGTAAACCAAACCAATAATGCGATCACCGCTCGCTCGACTCCACTATCAAAGGTCCTTCAACTCTCGGTCTTTCGTAAAGCAACTATCGCTACCAACACAGTCCAAAGAATGAAAAATGTATATGTATATATATATATAGTCGCGATTAAACGCGCAAGAATATGTTTCAGTTCCACGGCAACCTAGATCCCCATATCACCCCCGGCACAGAGTCGAAACAGCTCTGTAATCACAATTCGAGCTCGCCCCCGCGGTCGTAATCAGAGTCGACTTCCGGGGGCGACGAAATGCACACATCCACTATACCAACAACACAGTCCTCGTTCACCCTCAAACAGTTCGCTTCCGACACCGGCGCGCGCCAAATTTAACACGTCAAACCGCAACAACGATCACGAGCACATCACAACCAACCTCTCCCAGGTGTGTACGGCGCAACGACTGAAAGACCCAACAACGCAACTCCGCCCCGATTACGCCAAATTTGCATCCTCAAAAGACCGTTTTCGTTACGTGCATTCATGGCAGTCATGACCGTTGCTATCATTACACCGATGACAGTAATAGGCTCTTTACTATTTCATTGATCGATGAAAGAACCAGGGCAGAGTACTACTCTTGGGGGATTCGCGCCCACCCTTCGTTGTCCAACAGCTCTCTGACACCCTGCCCCCCCCCCCCACCCTTCCATCGCCAACGGTCACTAGATACGAGCACCACCCTGCGATTGCTCGAAGGCCCACCTCACCGCCGCCTTCGTCAGCGGCCCCGTTGGTGCCGTTGCGGGCTGCTTAGTGACGCCGAATGCCGCAACGGCGATTGTCTTACGTGGCATGAACCGCGTTTGATCGGATTCGTTAGATCACCAGCAAAGAGTGGACAGCCCCAATGGCGAAGTCCATGGCCCCAGACGCCGGGAAAATCTAAACAGCATCCGATGCGGTGGCCCACTCACGAGGCTTTGTTCGATCGCCTTTGTTGAATTTTCCTCGCCGGTGTTGTACGGATTGTGGTTTATAATGGCATGCTCCCGCTTGAACTAATCCCCGCTTTTCGACGGAGCTAGGGCCGCACCGAAACGGCTCTATTCTACCGAGACAAATCCCCCCTTCCAGAACTCCGCTCCCGCCATCGCAGTACTCTGCTTTATCGACCAAACCGCGGCGAAAGGTTGTGATTACCCGCCATCATCGTGGTACTGTAGCGGTGGATTTCATGCTTGTGCTCGCTCTCGCATCGTCACAACAACGACACTCCACACAAATTCGATCGATGTGGATAACCTTTGTGGGTTTTGTTCAGGATGGAGTTTCAGAGTCTAGTGGAGAAATGTCGTGGGGATGGACTTGATTGTTAGGGTTTGAGTCGGCACTTTGATTAAAAATGGTTACATTTTGACGTGTGCTTATTGGTGTTGGTGTAAATTTCTGCATCATTGCATGGGAAGGCATAAAATGTTTATTGTGTGCTTGAAATGAATACATACACAACCCCCCCCCCCTCCAAGTCCATGTTATTTGTGTACAACTTCAGAAAAAGTCAGTGAATATTTGCCGTAAAACTATATTATTGTTTCTTTTCTAGATGTGTGGAACAGTACAATGGTGAGACAGATCTATTTAAACAGATTATGGAATTGTGGCATGAATGTATGGTCTTTGTTTAACTAGTTGGTTTAAATCAAGTCCCCAAAAAAACACAAAACTAGCCAATGTTGCTGAATGCGTCAAGCTGGGACAGCATAATTAGGGTTGCTGCTGCTGGTTGTTGCCAAATCTACAACAAGCATATTCCCTCTTTTGATTCCCAATTGTTTTGATTCCCCTTGATGACGATGTGGCACATGGATGCCTTACCTCGAGTCTCCACCTGTTCATACGTTGAAATGGCCATTGAGAACCCTTGCAAAATAAATAACTAAACAAATAAATGAGAACAAGGAAGAACTAGGGGATGTATGTAATGTGACAACTCTCCAACACACCCAAGCAAAAGAGAATTTTTGACCTTATATACTGAAATAATTCATGGCCCATTTCAAGCGTATGCTCTTTTACAAAATGGTTTCAATGATTTGTGTTGCCATCATATCATACAGAGAGCATTTAAGAACCATTTGAAGAATTCTGTTGAAACAACATTCCAGGTTTGTCTCTCCCTGCCACCATCAACTGCCACCCACTCAACATGTTTCTTTGATTTGTTTTTTTGTTTGTTTTATCTTTAAAAAATGTTAATGTTCCCAATATGTATATTCCTCCATGATAAGATGGTTGTAGTGGAAGTAGCAAAAAGAAAAATTTGAATCAATTTTGATGTGATTCAGGTGGCAGTGGCAAAAATTGTGGTAGTGTTAGCAGGACTATATATATATATATTAATTTCATTAAAAGACTCTTGTAGGTCCATCTCTTACACGCCACATTCTATTTATTTCCACAAGATAAAACTTAATACAAGGCAAAAAAATGTTTTACAAATGAATTTTTTAATTTGTAGCAAATGCTAACCCAAATTTTGAATGTGTGTCAATAATAAAATAATCAAACTGTCACTTCTAAAAATTTAGATGATTCTGACTTTGTTTTTTGAGCTTTGAGAGATTATTCTCTGTTCAATGATTTCCTCAATATCATAATTTTGATACTCGGATTTCAATTGGTGTTTTGTATTCAATGGATCTCATCCAGATGCTACATGGAATTATCACAATTACAAAATTGGAGAGCTAGTATAAGGTGAACATTAGTAGTTATTATTACTATTATTATCTTAAACACAAATATAAAAAATTTGTATTTGAAATTGTGATAGAGAGAATTAAAATAAATAAATAAATAAATAAATAAATAACAACAACAACAACAAAAAAAAATAATGTGTAGTTTTATGTATTTGTTTAATTCTATCTATTTCTATATATGCATATATACACACACTATTATATTATGTTGAAGATTTGAATCTCTCATAGTATTGATAAAAATAGAACAATGACAATAATGTCTACAAACTTTGTAAAAGTTGAAGCTGAATGGGCACTGTTTCACTATAGTATTGACTTTTGAGGCATCCTAAGTCCAAATTGTAAATTTTCTTTTTGGATATGAAAGAGTGTGTATGGATATATACATAACAAGGTGTGTTATGATTTAGAATTGGCAAATGCACAAGATTTGAATTCAAATCAGTTTTCATTCTTGGACACAGACTGTGGTCAAATTGACTACAACTAAACCACAAATGTGTATCAAACTTACCATGAATATATAAATTACCAAGCCTTTGAAATCAGGAATCATTTTTTTTATTTTACCACGTGTCAAAATTAAATAATGCAAATAGCATTGAAAAAATAAAATACCAAACCCATGACTTCATTTCTTTAAATCAAAACAGATACAAGACTTCTGGGGACCAAGACTATTTTTTTTATCTCCCATTCCCATTCAAACCAGGGGATCATTTGGAACCCAATTAAGCAAACAAGAGCCACAAACCAATGCAGTGGTGAATGATAAACGAGGATAATTATATATTAAAAAATGAAATGAACACGATAATTGCCAGGTGGATAATCGTAAAACAAAATACTTTGGATGGTTCAAAGAAAATGGGGCTTTTTCTATAGTAATCAGATTCCCATGCAAAGAACAGTTTCTTCACAATTTAGTAAGAATGGGACGGTGGGAGGGGAAGTGTGTGTAAGTCTGACCTGGCACGGGCAGCACGGGCAGCACGGGCAGAGGATAGTAAAAAGAGGAATACATACCCACTTTAATTTTTAATTTTTAATTTTTTGTAATTCCCCCTTTTCTTCCCAAAGAGAATTGTTTTTGTTAATTATTAATTTTAAGCGTGTGAATCACATGAATAACTTTGGAGGGTTTGGCATTGAATCCAAATGCAAACAAAAAGGAGCCATTATTTAGTGATTTTTATTGATATAAGAGCTTTAAAAGAGATTAAACAAAAGGCTTTGTCATAAACTAGATATGGCACCTAACTTCCCACATTTTTTCCAATTCATTCGTTGAGGACAAGGAGTAGGCTTGGATCCGAAGCTGTGCCCTGGTCCCAAACCTAGCCCCTCCCCGCCTTACCTTCCCCACTATAAGACGCTTGTGTTGGATCCATTGGCCACCGAGCCTCATTAAACGATAATAATACATTTGTAAAGTAGTCTAAATTTGGGGTGAAAAATACACACGAGCAAATCATGGACAACAAAGATTTTAATGAAGAAATCAATCTTTATATTAATTAACATTCGTTAGCTTTCGAATAATTTCAATGTAGTTGCGTTTCATTGTTAGCTTTTGCAATTGTCCGTTTGTCATGAGAAATAGTTTATTTAGTTGCTTTATACATTTTTGTAAACGTTTTTGTTTGTTTACATGACTCTTGTAAGTTTACACCATTAGTGTTTGTGTTTTTTGAATTGGAAAAATATGGGAAGATTTATCGACACATATGCTCGCAATTTTTCATTTTCTGTTTGATTGTTTCTATTTTTTATAGCATATTATGATTTACTGCTCGACTCACAGTATTTGACAACCACATTTAAGATTTTTAAAATTCAATTTGTTTTCGAATTAGATGGGAATGCTTGCAATGTTGAAAGGGGTGACAATTTTGTAGTAATATTTCTACAGGAAAACATAACCAATGTGTTAAAGTGGATACAATTAATAATTTTTATTGGGTTTTTTCATAATTTAATATTCTTAACAATAAAATCACAAAAATTATGTATAATTTACAGCATGAGTTTTTCATATACCAGGTTTTTAATTTCTAATTTCTAAAATATATATTCACTTAATAATTTTTACTTGCATTACTATGCTTATTTTATGTGAGATGGAAAGTTTTCAAAAAACAATTCAATTTGATAATCAGTTTCTACAAATGAATGCAGAATTTATGTCTGAATATAAACAAAACATTTTTGTGAATATATATTTGTGTGTGTATATATGTACATATTTTTTGGTATTGTGAAAAGTAGCAGTTTTCCCACACTAAACTATGCAGTCGTCTTGGGATAGTGGGTGGCAATGGTAGCCGATGCATCATTTTCAAAGTTTTCCAAAAGTCGAAGTTTTGGATGTGTTTTTTTGGGGGGGAATACGCTAGACCATGCACGAATTTCATGTGGGTTTGTAATCCGTCATTCAAAGTCGGTGCCTTGGAAGCCAAATGGTGGTGGCTTGGGCACTCACAATTTTAGGGTTTCCCCTCCAGTCATGCCAGGTTATCAGAGAAATGAGGTTGCGAGGGCGGCACCACGCAAATTCCGGTGCATGAAGCAGCACGATCGATCGACGCGGCAGATCCACCATGGCCACAATCTCAGTGGAACCAGGAATTTGTCTCATTCAAAGCATTCCACTTCTCGGCCACAAAATTACCAATGCATAACTCATGCTTCTCCAGAGTCGACTGCTGCAAGGACCCGGAGTAAATGACGAGCTCTTGCCACTGGAACACTGCCAACAGGTCCGCAGAAAAGCTCTTGGGAAGCTTTGTCATGGTCGGCGGAGGAAGATGACGAGCTCAAAAAATACTTGGCTTGGAAGCATCCACAACCAGATGTGTTGCTTTAATCTAATTTTCTTGCTCACATGTAAAGTGTAATGGGGTTTGTTGATCGGCGTGGCCTTTGACATTTGCAGTATGTTGTAGATTCCCGTCCGTAAGAATATCAGAATTATCCGTAATGCTAAAGACATGCATGATTTCTTTGGTGAAGTTATTTGTCTATACCCAAGGAGAATAGTATCATACGTCGCACAAACAGAACACCGTCGGAAACAAAGCTTTACCGAAAAAAAAAACCACTTTTACCATACAACGGTGGACCCTCTTTCACATGATTTGGGTTTTCTAGGTGTACTACTGTACAAGCTGTAAACAAAAGTAGCAGCAGCAAGACAAACTGCTTTGATGTTTATTGTGATCTGATTCTTCAGCTGGCTCCCATAGTGAGACTTCATTTTCTGAAAAATTACGACAGCGCACAAGGACGATGACAGTGGAAGGGACGAACTGCCGAATTCATTATTTCACACGGTTTGAAAATGTCCATCTCACTGCTTTTGGATCACTAACTTTCCTTTTCGCAGAGATTCTCACAATGGCACCGTGAGCGAGCATCCGCTGCAGGATTTGGGCAATGTTGTGGGCATCGTCCAGCCCAACATGATGTGTACCAGTTAGTGGTATATTAAGGCCTTTCAACATTGCAAGCATTCCCCCAGCCTGCGAGAATCCACATTCATTGCCTTAGCAGATAAATAGAAATCCACACTCGTCCCACCCAAATGAGCCTCTAAGCATATCAAGGCCAAAAGTGCTTGAAACTGAAGATGCAATCAGTTGATGATTTTGGAGTACGTAGAAAGAAACAAACTGGTACAAAATACCTATCACCTCAATGTAAGCTAATTCATAAAGCTTTCATGAAAGTAAGAGGTTATACCCGCCGTCTGTAAAAGTTGTAGTAGATGTCCTTCAAGTTTATCCACTCATTGAAATATGGTTTCAATTCGATACCTGAATCACGACATTGCTCTGGAATCTTTGTCTTCACATCCCAGTTGCCACTGCAATCCCAATCCTGACCATTAAGTCCTGAATGAAACAAGTTTCTCTCCGAAGTCCTCACTTGTGTTAAGATTTGACTCCTAGAACCATTTCAGATGAACCATCATGTAGATGAATGAACAAAATATTGTTCAATTTCATTTAACTTGACTAATCTATCCCTCACATCTCAACACTAAGCATGAAAGACGGACTTATAGCGGCAAGAAGCGTACTAACTTGTACGCAAGATGTACTTGATCTAAATACGATTGTGGAATACACGCTTACGTATTTATTTTTAGCTTAAATATGCAATTCTATTTTAACGTAATTTGTGTGCCAAGAGTCCTGCATTAACCAGTGCTCACCATGTAACAAAAGCAGCTCGTGTCAACTTGGACGGGTCCTCAGGATTATAAAGCGAGTGGCTCTCCATCCAGCTTTCAAATGCGTTCAAAACCTCTGTAAACGGGATAGCTGTATCATGCCAAACCCTGTCAAAATCAATCGTCCAATCGGTCAGCAAGATCGAAGGTCCGAGCTAACTATTGCCCATCGACGAATAATTTATTTAAAAACTTTCAGAAAAGAAGAACAATCCAGCAATTTAAGACACGGCGTCTATATATCCTGCATTAACCTTGTTGACCTGGATTTTGGTGCCCACAACTTGATTGCATACATCATTCTCATTGAAGTATGGTATGATCTGCATGGAATTGAACCAGACTTTATGTTTGGTCGGCATCCAAAATCTTAGGACTTCACTGAGAAACACGCCAGAAACGTTTATCTAGTAATTCCTCTAATACTGTTCATATTTGTAGACTAAACTCACAGCGTGTTTACATTTGCACACTAGAAACAAGAATAATACACCACACCTGTCCAACCCCCATCTTCCATACTTTCCCTTGATATATTCAGCCTGCCTTTCTTCCGTCATAATGACTGGCCTTACGAAGCTGCAAAAAGTCAAGCACCGTTCAAATAAAAAAATTTTAAATTTCAGTATCGCAATTTCGGGACTCAAAGGCTTTGGTCTCCAAGGTTTTGAATTCAATACAGCCCATCGCATCACAAATTGAAAAGAAGGAATAAATCAAGAAGGAATATACCGGTGAAAACGATCAACCACTTCAAGTGTCTGAGCGTTGATCAAAAGTACAGGAAACTCCAATATTTCGACCCTGCCTTCCAGATCCAGTACTAAGTAGAACTCAAATGGCTGTTCCTTAACCCTTTTCAGATCAGCTGACCTCACTTTGAGCTCAGGATAAACATGGCTAAACTTGTCTGTGTGATTTTCGTCCTCCATCTACGTACCACATCACCTTAAAACGTTTGAGTTTCTGTTAGACTTGGGCAGAGAATGTTGTGCAAGGACGCAATTTGACAAAACTTCCAGGAACAAAGTGCAAATTGTTAACCAAGTTCGATAACAGCCATTAAACTGTAAAAAGGATAGGGAAGGCTGAATCAGAGCGTCCCTGGGATGATCCTGAATTACAAGTACACCAGCTCCCAATGAATGTTCAATCAACCTCTACAGAAAATGATGTACGCAGAGTCAGGTCGCAAAACTCATGACATGCCTCTTAGCCTGCAGGACTACTCTAAATTTCATTCTACAATCTGTATCAATATGCATCCCTCGCTGCACTGAGAATTGTACAGATAGTATGCTATTGAGAATGTACTGGCCACTATCACACATCAAACCCTTCACAAATTCACTTTTAAAGCATTCGCTCATGCTCACACACCTAAAATCTCCGATCGTACACAAATGAATTCGTCCTAGAATGGTGCATTTGTCACCGGCTCCAAGAAACTCATGATTTAAAAGATCCAAAAACGAGAATGATGTTCACAAAGTTCACCACTGAGCAAGTTCAGCTAAACCCTTCGCTAAAACTATATGTCCTCTAAACCCTTAAACCCTAAACCTGAACCCTTGATGGGCGACCTGCTGAGACTGATGCACAAAGCCTTCAATATACCAAACCCAAACCCTACCAAGTAGTTTATGAGAATACTGTAATGACTTCAGGATCCATGTGTAACAGGACAAACCCATCGAAGCGCCAAAACAATTTTCAGCACAAATGACTCCTGCGGCAAAGTGTATGAAACTTACCAGAGTACACAATCCTTGCGTGAAATAGTAGCACATCTTTTTCGAACGCCTCCCGGTTCTCGCTACATCAGCAATGCGTTGATTTTCACCCTCTAAATCTTCGTTTACCATGTCAAATTCTCGTAAAGCATGAAGGGCATCTTCAGAAATCTCCTCGTCGAACTCTGCCATACTCTCGTTCGACTGCAAAACAGAGGCTGCATCAGCCTGCGTTGTCGACTGCGAGTCATCAGAAGTGGCAGAAGCAGACATCAAGGATTGCCTTGGATTATGCACATTAGCTGCAAAACTCTGGAGTTTCGGAGCTAAGTGGTGCTTTACAGGGACGCCATAAGAGCGATTCCACGAGCTCAGAGATCTCGAGCAACAAGAAAGGTCAGCCAGGTTCAGTGAGACCCCTCTGTGGGTCGCCACATTAGCCCACTTCCAATCTAATGTAGCATGAATTGGAAAACTATCTACAAAAGACATGCCTACACAGCAGCCCGGGCGTTTCAAAATAAAGCTGACTAAGGAGAAATTTCGCTGATAATAAAACGGATTGCACACAACTCGCGTGTTTGGAACGCCTGAAATTAATTTACCCAACGTGAGAGCCATCTTCACCAGAAGCAACAACACTAGCCAACCGAATTGCAAAACTACTTCGACACAGGGAGCTGATACTACATTTGGGTACTGTCACCACCACACCGACTGCAGCAGTAGGTGCACTGTCATGCCCACCTTGCCAAATCTAACCTATACTTCTCTCAAAACCTTTCTACGTTTCACTTAAACCTCAAGAACTGCACAACCACACCGAGAACAGTATCGTGAGATATCAAAGGTTAGGGTTGAGGTTTAATATCAGAAGATATCCTGATTTAGGAGTAATCTATGCACAATGTTGTATTGGATAACATAGCGCACAATAACTTAACATGAGCATATCGGAGAGAAGCTTCAAACGAGAACTGTTTCCCCTAAAGCTGGCAGATCACATTGTGTGCTGCACTTCGTGTTAGGTATTTAATGTCCCTACTCAACCAGTGCTGCAAAAATGGAGTGCTATATTAATGGCATCGGAATCGACGACCGTGATTACTCTTTGCAAATTCCATCACAAATGTCCTCTTTGGAATGCTGCAATGAAATAGTTGCAGCTTACAAAAGATGATTTAGTAGGGTAGGCCGAACCTGCAGAAATAATATTTTTTAATCATGCAGGAGATTTGAAGTAAAGAATGGATATTAACCTCTAAGTTGCGACCCAGTTTTTGCTCAGAATTTGATTCAAAGTTATGTTGTGAAGGCGGAAAATCTAAATTTAGGAATTACGGAGAAAGTCAGACGAGTAGGACTTCTTTCAGGTCGGTAATAGCAATCGCTGGTAGAAGTGTGGCATTGCAGAAGGCAAGATACATCAGATGACTTCGGGTATAGGAGAGATGTTATTAGTGATCACTACAAGGTACTGGTTTTACGACAAGTGTAAAACATCAACCCGGTTCCTTGAAGAGTAAAGACATGGAAATTGTGACAGGCGCAGAATTACAACGCTTTCCTACGTACAAGCTTGGCCTTCTCAGATTTAAAGCAAGCACCTGTTGTTTAGGATTGTGAAAGGACTCCGGTTCCCACAACATGTTGGACATTCTCAACTCTTCATTCAACAATTTCAATTAGGACCTAGGACACCTGCCGTAATGCTTGTCATACATCTGATCTTCTATGTGTCTGTTTTGAAGCTGGCGGCGAGCATTGTGGATCCTAACAACAGAAAACCAGTCGTGGGCTTGGAAACTCATTGTTGGCTAAAAATCCGTCTCGAATTCTCTCAAAATTTATTTTGCTTATTACACACTTGAGGTAAAGCCTTGTGAAACGTGGTAATCGAAATTACACTTCTTTAAAGGCGATTGTTCACCGCTTCAGCACATTAAAAAGGGTGGACGTGCTGCATGGAAAAATTATTTTTGTCTTCTCGATTCCCGCTCACCATCGAGACTTGGAAACTTGTTCCTCTTGATTGTGATCACTACAGACCTGGCATCATTCGAGTCAAAGTTGCACCGAGTCTCGCGAAGAATAAGCATGTTCCTCTGGGTATGACTTGTTCACAGATGGCGATGACTTGGTGCTGGGTAGAGGAAAACAGTAGGAAGCGAATGAGATATTAAACTACTTGCGCATTGTGCACTCGTCCATGAAGCTCGTTGGCAGCTTCGGTGCCTCGAACCAAGCAACCCCAGACGATGGCCCTGTAGAATTTATATTTTTATGCACACGAGTTCACGACAAGAGTTCTCTTTATCTTGTCCTAAATATTACAGTCGCACAGAATTCAGAGGTGAACACATTGGAGTGTGCACAGGAGATTATTAGGTCACCTTATCAACCATATCGACATCACCGCAAAAACGTTAACACATGACTGGCTGTGGCTTTTCCTCAGCCATGATTCACGGGGAGCATCGTTAACTGATACCGACCGGCAATTGCACCAGAACGATTCCCGTTCATCCAGCTATGATAAACCTGAAAGCGAATGTGGAGATAGTGGAGTCTATGACAGCTGGCCAGCATCAAACCACCACACATCTGTGTAATCCACTTCCTACAAGAACCTGCAAATTGATCAACTTTTAAAGCTCCATCAATGTCAGTTAGTGTAGGGATTTCAGCATCGATCATGCTTCACAGCATTGAGATATGAGCACCCGACGGACGGAAACCACTTTCCGTGCATGCTTGTGGTCTACACACAAGCGCTAATATCAACTCGAAATATCTGCAAATCTCTTCAAACCAGAGTGAGGAATAAGAACTCTATTGCTGGTAAAGCGGACAAAAGACGAGGAAAGCTTGGAATCAGATTGGTCGTGCAACATTGCAACACTTTCCAGACGCAAACAGAGTCATTCTATCTGAAACGACAACCCCACAATCTAAGGTGGGCTTCTAGGACCATCCAAACTCGAGGTCGACAATTGGGTTCTTCGCAGACCACTCGAAATCGCTCACAAGTGGACCGATTAAACACGCTCGCTGCGGATCTCGTCGCTGTTGAGCAACGCGTCCCCATTACCATTCAGAAATCCTAACCCTCATTCGGATTGTTGCTGCGATCGGGCCTTCCATCTTCCTAGGTTTTGTCTCAAGTATAACCAGCTTTGTGACCCATTAGAAATTGTTGAAATTTTTTTGTTCTCATGCTATCAAAAATTTCAAGTTGAGCAAAGTCGACAATATTTTCTTTCATTTTTCGGATTTTCTGAGTGCCATTGAGCATGTCGGGAAGACAAGGGGCACAAGATGTGAAAGAGTGATAGATTTAATTGTATTGTAGACCACATTATATATATATATATATATATATATATATATATAATATTATATAAATTTGGAGGTCATTGATTCTGCAAAAATATTATATGAAAATTAAATAATCAAAAATTATATATACAAAACACGTAATTTTTATATATATATATATATATATATGGATCTAAATGAGGTTGAACTGACTATAAAACATTGGATTAATTAAAAAGACATTAGATTGATTATGTTATAATGCATAATTCTAAAAAAATAAAAAATAAAAAGATTGTAGAATAAAAAATATACAATATTTATAAATGCAATAAGCAATTTGCACACTTGTCTTTAATTGTATAGTATCTTAAAAGTTTTTAGTATAGTATAAATAAGAAGTTTATGATGTGTTTGCAAGGGTGTACTGCACAAGAGGCATGCTCACAATGAAAGAGAGTGTCCACCTAGTGGTTCCATTTATCCATTATATATTTACAATATGATTTTTGACAAGTTAAATCAATAAGATGTTTTTGATAAGATTTGTATTTTCTTTTATCAATATTAATTAAAATAAATTTCACTTAAAGTAGGACAAAATAATCCAACTAGAGCTAATCTCATTATAATGGTTTGTTTAAACATTTAAAACATTTATTTTTTTATTTTTTTTTCAAACATATGTACATGTTATTGTTGTTATCTTTACTATTATTATTATTGCTATTATTTTTCTATTCTAAATACCTTTGAGAACTACAAATTAGGCTATAATAGCTCACAAATTAGGCTACAATTAGGCTACAAATTAGGCTATATGTAATTGATGAATAGTACTAGATCAAAAGATTTAGAAATAAATAAAATTGATTACATTTTGTGCATTAATCAAACAAAAAAAAACACCTTCTCCTCAACTTCATATTATGCCACACTTTCATACTTTGTGTTTGTAAACACTATTCATAATTTTACAAAAAATGTAAGTAATTATAAATATTTTCTGTTATCTTTATTGTGTGTGTGTTTATGTCTTCTATATTTGCTGTGCAAATGTGTTCCTTTTTTTAAATGAACCTTTTTTCTTTCTCAAAAGAGTATCTCTCACGTTGCTAAAAACAGAGATTTTTTAAAATAATATATATATATATATATATATATATATATATTTGTCTTAAGATGTATTAAAATTCAATTAAAATCCAGTGTGTGCATGTGTATTTCTAAAAATTGATTTAGAATGTACAAGATTATCACATTGCATTGCTTATTAATGAAACAATTGAAGAAAAATTAAAATAATGCCTCTGCAGATAGACCTCTGCAGAGTGTATAAAATTAAATCAGACAGTACAAAAATTAAACATATTGCGTAAATTGTAACACTTTGAGAAGATAATTAATACAGATTAGACTTGGTAGTAAAATGTATGTATGTATACATATACACATACATATAAATATATTCATGCTCTTTGCTGTATGATAAATCATACAAACTTTTATATATAATGTACATAATCAACAAACTTCAATATGACGATGTTCCTAACAGACGAAACTTTGTTTTAGCACAAGCCTGTTAACTTGACTTAAATTTAAATGAACAAACATTTACTGAACATGATTAAGAAAATTTAAAAGTTTTAATTATATTGCAATTGCATATACTACAGGTACAGTGGATCTAGCTTGACATGATGTAATAGCATGAAATAGAATTTCAAAATTGCATCAAGTCGAAAAGTTATGCTCCAACAAACACACACACACTGAAAAAATCAAAAAATTAAAAAATATTATTAATGTAAATGAATGACATGATCAACATATTCATCACCTTTCGTCATCGGATGGAGGGCACAAGAAAGTGTTGTTTAGAACTGATGAGCGAAATGGATGAAAAAGCACGTGACCTGCTGCAGAGACAAATATTATTAGGAAGAAATAGAATAATAATAATAATAATAATGGGTCTATGGCACCTCATTCATTTGAGATCCTACTGTGAGTACTTAATTAAGCAAACCACTTCCTGCTTCAACTTTTTCTTTTTTCTTTTTCGCAAACTTTATTACGTTTTCGTAACCCGTTGGGAGTCTATATGCGAATTACTTGTGAGGCTGAGGGTGAGTTGCAGAATGCGGATATCGGACCCACGGCGGTGGAGCCCACCACAGCGTTCGTGGATAATGTACGGGTGAAAGGAGGACCTGTGACTGCGGTACCGAACGAGTGAATGAGATTTCGGGGGAAGGATGTACCGGGGACGGTATTGGGAGCACCCCCATTAGGACTCCGCATATTGGACGGTATAACTGAAACGAGGCTGACACGAGGCCTGGGCCGGCGAAGAGTGTCGTTGCGCACCTTCACCCTCCAAACGTGTTGCCAACGAATGCCGGAGTCGCAGAGTCACATACCGCACTGGATCAGTGTTGCGGCAGGAACCTCACGCCTCCACCGCAGCCTGAGAATCACAAGACAGGAAAGATACGAATTAAACAAATGTTAAAATTCGAAGAGTTTCCCAAAAAGGTAGCGAACGTAGGACCGGATTGAAAAGCCCGATCGCCGAAACTCCTACTTGATAACCTGCTCATTCCTTCGGCCCCGTGAGTGCTTGAGCGGTGCTCAGCCGTCGCTGGTCCACCTCCCCGTCTATCCTCGCCACTTACGGCCCAATTTCTTACACGGCGGGTTTTTCTGGGTTGTGAGTCTTGGTTCGTGACTGTGATTTCTCTTGCCGTTTTGTGGTGTGTATGGTTGGGGGGAGGTGGAGGAGGAGGAGTAGTGATGGAGCGGGCGAAGCATCAGGTTGCGAAACGCTTGGTGCAGCAGGTGGTGCGTCGAACATCCGCGCCTCCGTCGACTCTCCGGTCCCGGTCTGTATCACGAGCTACCGCTTGCAATGAGACGCGTCGAGGATTTGGCGCTTCGTTGCTGCGTGGAAGCGGGAATGGAATCGTCCAGCTTCCGTTTGGAGCCAGGACCATTTCCATTGAGGCATTGAAGCCCAGCGACACGTTTCAGAGGCGTCACAATAGTCCTACCCTCGAGGAACAGAAGATGATGGCGCAGGCGTGTGGATTCGACAGCATGGACGCCATGATCGATGCAACCGTGCCTAAATCCATCCGCAGGCCCGACCTCAATCTCAGCAAGTACGGGGAGGGATTGACAGAGAGTCAGCTGTTGGCACACTTTAAGGCCATGGCATCCAAGAATAAGGTGATGAAGTCTTACATTGGAATGGGTTACTACGACACCCACGTCCCGACTGTGATTCTCCGCAACATTCTGGAGAATCCCGGATGGTACACGCAGTACACCCCCTACCAGGCCGAAATTGCGCAGGGAAGGCTCGAGTCCCTTCTGAACTTCCAAACCATGATCACGGATCTCACAGGAATGCCGATGTCCAATGCATCGTTGTTGGACGAAGGTACTGCTGCGGCGGAAGCCATGACAATGTGTAGTAACATCGCTCGTGGCAGGAAGAAAACCTTCCTGGTGGCTGACAACTGCCACCCCCAGACAATTGAGGTGTGCAAGACCAGAGCGGACGGTCTAGGTTTAAACGTTGTGGTGGCTGATTACAAGAAATTTGATTACAGCAGTAAGGATGTGAGCGGAGTTTTGGTGCAGTACCCTGCTACTGACGGATCGGTGAACGATTACTCGGATTTTGTCAAGAATGCCCACGCACACGGAGTGAAGGTGGTGATGGCAACCGACCTGTTGTCTCTCACCATGTTGACACCTCCTGGTGAGCTGGGAGCGGACATGGTTGTTGGATCTGCTCAAAGGTTTGGAGTTCCCATGGGCTATGGAGGGCCGCATGCTGCCTTTTTGGCAACATCTCAAGAGTACAAGCGTCTTATGCCCGGGCGTATCATCGGCATAAGTATTGATGCCACTGGAAAACCATGCCTTCGGATGGCCATGCAGACTCGTGAGCAACACATCCGTCGTGACAAAGCGACGAGCAACATCTGTACCGCTCAGGTAGGTCTTCTGAACTGTGTGAAAATCTGTTTTAATCAGTTGAATGCGTAAAAAATAATCTTCTCATATCAATTTTCTGAGAGAATTACGCATTTGTCTACTGCATGTTGTATACCCTTGTCCTGGCATCTCGTTAATGCTCTTCATTGTTGCTTGTTGCATTGAGGGGTTTGATTTGAAGTTTTTGATTGACGTAGTTGGGTCTGTGACAGGCTTTATTGGCAAACATGGCAGCCATGTACGCCGTATACCACGGCCCCGAGGGTTTGAAAACAATTGCGAACAGGGTTCATGGATTGGCCGCGGTATTCAGTTCTGGTGTGAAAAGATTGGGATTCCAAGTTGGATCTGCATCGTTCTTTGACACAGTGAAGGTTACAGTTGGTGAAGGACAGGCTGAGAAAATTAAAAATGACGCAGCTGCACACGGTGTGAATTTGAGAGTGTTCGATTCCAACTCGGTGAGCCTGACAACTATCTCGTAATATTCGGTCCGAATTCTCGTGTATTGTTTTTCTCTTCTTTTTTGGAGCACAATTGCACCGAGGCAATATTACCGTAGTTGGTTCTTATCTCATGTTCTTGGTTATGGATGGCCAGGTTACCTTGTCTTTCGACGAAACTACGACGATCGGAGATGTGAACACCTTGTTCAAATGTTTTGCTGGAGGCAAGAATGTGAGAAACTTCTTATCCTTTTTAAACATGCTTCTTGAATGACCGGTTCACATGATGATGTGTTCCTGCTGTCTTTCCTTCTGATCTCACTCGGACTTTGGTTGCATCGTCGATGTCTAAATTAATGTATATGTTTGTAACAGGTTGATTTTTCTGCGGAGCAACTTGCCGCTGGGGTGGAGAGTCACCTTCCGTCTAACCTGAAGAGGGAAACTCCATTCCTTACCCACCCGGTGTTCAACCAGTATCACTCAGAGCATGAGTTGCTCCGATATCTTCACAGGTTGCAGGCGAAGGATCTATCTTTGGTGCACAGCATGATTCCGTTGGGATCGTGCACGATGAAGTTGAACGCCACTACTGAGATGATCCCAATTACGTGGCCTGAAATGGCCAATCTGCATCCTTTCGCTCCCGAGGACCAGGCTCAAGGGTACCAGGTACCTTTTTGTGCGGCTTGATATGGTGTGTGTTGCTGTCTTTGTTGTGGGGTTCTGTGGTTAACCAGGTCATTTCCCACTGCTGGTGGATTCAGTATCGTTTTAGGTATTTCCTGAATTCGAAGTACGACTTGCTCTGATGTGCAGGAAATGTTCAAAGAACTGGGTGACCTGTTGTGTGAAATCACCGGGTTCGATTCCATGTCCCTGCAGCCCAATGCCGGTGCTGCTGGCGAGTATACAGGATTGATGGTTATCCGTGCTTATCACCTGGTAAGACTTTTGGGACATTCTTCTCATAAGTGCTGGAAGTGTCGCTGTTGGGTTTGAATCTAGTTCTCTCTTTGCCCAGCGCACTTTAATGGTGTTGGATGAGGCGGCGATCGCGTTTTTGATGGTTTGATTGACACGTGGAATTTCGATTGTACTCAGGCTCGAGGAGACGCGCATCGCGATGTGTGCATTATTCCTGTCTCAGCTCATGGAACAAACCCTGCAAGCGCAGCAATGTGTGGAATGAAGATTGTGACTGTTGGAACTGACGCACACGGAAATGTGGATATCGCAGAACTGAGGAAGGCAGCTGAGAAGCACAAGGACAATTTGTCCGCTCTCATGGTAAGTTATTCACAGATGTACATTCGATTTGGATCTCAGTCACTCAGTTAATGTATTGAGCATCACGAAGTAATCCTGAAGGAGGACGTTGGGTTACCGTCTCTTTAGTGGGCTTCAGGCCAATTTCGTCCACAGTGAATGGCCTGGATTATTTAAATTGTTATATTTGGTCTGTAAGCAACAACGCGGGTACTCGGCCGCGATTGTCTTGTGGAACGATGAATTGGCTGTTGGTGACGACAGCTGTATCTAGCTCAGTTATGTAACTGAAGAGTCGTAATATTCTTCCGACTAATCGTTCTTGTCAATTCTGCATATGAGTGATGTGGCTGGTTTTTTTGACCTTGTGCAGGTGACTTACCCATCCACGCACGGTGTCTACGAAGAAGGCATTGATGAAATCTGCAATATCATCCATCAATATGGTGGACAAGTGTACATGGATGGTGCCAACATGAACGCTCAGGTTGGGTTGACCAGTCCTGGTCACATTGGAGCCGATGTGTGCCATCTCAATTTGCACAAGACGTTCTGTATCCCCCACGGAGGAGGTGGTCCTGGAATGGGACCTATCGGAGTGAAGAAGCATTTGGCTCCATTCTTGCCATCACACCCTGTGGTATGTGATTTACGCTTTTTACAGGAGCTCGAGGCCATTGGCTTTAATATTTGCTTACTGTTCGTTGTGCTGTCTAGTGTTCGTTGCGGTGAGTAATTGTTGACGATGTTGACAGTGAGTAAATAGTTTCGAGCCGGCTTCTGATATTGAGTACTCGAACTGCAGGTTGGCACCGGAGGATTCCCAAGACCGGCTAACACTCAACCTCTTGGCCCCATTTCTGCTGCTCCTTACGGCTCAGCATTGATTCTGCCAATCTCATATATCTACATTGCAATGATGGGCAACAAGGGTTTGACAGACGCGTCTAAGCTTGCAATCTTGAACGCTAATTACATGGCGAAGCGACTGGAGGTTGGTTTAGATTACTTCTCAGCACTCAGTACTACAGACGTGACACAAAATAGATCTAATATATCCCCCAATATATCCCCTAATTTATTTATGTATCTATGAATTAAAAAAAGCTGACTCCTGCGGTGTGGGTTGTGTGCAGAATCACTACCCAATTCTGTTCAGGGGTGTGAACGGAACATGCGCACATGAGTTCATCATTGACTTGCGGAAATTCAAGGTAACGTACCTCGAAATGCCCTAGCTAATCGCGTTGGAACCTTTTCTCGATACAGAAAATGTGAAGGAATATAGTGATTGTTGAGAGAGTGTTTACTGAATTGCTGTTTCGATTCATGACAGGACACGGCAGGAATTGAGGCTGAGGATGTGGCTAAGCGTTTGATGGACTACGGTTATCATGCTCCAACCATGTCATGGCCTGTGTCTGGAACGCTTATGATTGAGCCAACCGAAAGTGAAAGCAAGGCCGAGTTGGATCGGTTCTGTGATGCCCTGATTTCCATCAGAGGGGAAATTGCCGCAATTGAGAACGGAGAGGCTAGCCGTGAGGACAATGTCCTGAAGGGCTCCCCTCATCCAGCATCAGTTGTGATGGCCGACAATTGGACTAAGTCCTACTCAAGGGAGGTTGCAGCTTTCCCTGCCTCTTGGGTCCGTGCATCCAAGTTCTGGCCCACCACATCCCGTGTTGACAATGTATATGGAGACCGCAACCTCGTGTGTACAAACCCCCCTGCAGAACTTGTCGAAGAAAAGATTGCCGCTGCCGCTTGATCCTTTGACCTCAGGATTAGCCCACCTTCGTTGTCCGAAGCTTGGAAGTATTGGACTAAACCGACAGAACTATCCATCACACTTTCTATTCAAGCCAAGTAGTTTCTGGGTCCTCGTTTCCTTGTCATCATTAGAACTCTCTTTTCCATGTTGATACAGCGCAAGGATTGTATTGCCGCTAAAGCTTCAAATCAGTCAATGCTGCATATCTTGCATATCTAGGGTGGCCTAGTCTATGTCTCAAGTACGAGAAGCCCTTCTACCTGATTGTTCTGTGAAGTGAAGCTGTGAACTTTTCTTCAATTGTACAGTAATTCCTTGCTTATAATGATGCGTGCCGTTCTGTGATTTGCTATGCCATCATTGGTTTACACAAGTGCTGTTAATTTGGAGTTCACTCCTACTCAAGCAGCTTATAATCAGATAATTGTACATCGAATTAATTGAACTGGAAATTGTATTAACCTACACTACTCCGAAGGCCATCACAATGGGACATTTATTATATTGAGAGACGATATTAAGAATATTTGGTTGTAAAAAGATTGAGTTGTGTATAAGTATGTTATATAATATGTATTGAAATACATGGAAGGCTTAACTGAAAAGATGATAATTTCTTCTACTCTTATACAAGATCTTTTTATTACTATCATATTCATTAATATTTTTTATTCAAAGAATACAAATCTTTCTAGTCTTCCTACAATTGCTACAAATACTTTCACAAATATCGTGATGCAGGATCTTTAAACTACTACATTCTTGTACAAATCTATAAAACATCACAATAATATTTATGCATTACTTAAAAAAAAACTCTTTTCAGGAAACCAAATATAATACATTTATAATTTTTTCAAATCATTATATACAATATTACAGAATTTACACATCTTTCTACTAATATAAAATTTGGGTTTTTTCAAAATTGCTTAGATAGACAAATTAGAGTAATATAACAAAGAAAAAATATCTTAAGTTCTAAATCCAACTTTCACAACAAATCCTATTTTGCATTGTTCATGTATCTTCAATAAATTTTTTTCAACAAAAAAAGACACCTTAGACTTTGAATTAAGTATATACTCTAAAAAAATGAACGAAAATAATATACTTTATTCTATTATTTTTTATTTAAAATGTTTAGCAACCAAAATCACTTATGAGATCCATAACAAAAAAAACTTTTAGTTTTTGTGGATTCATTTTAAGAATAACTTCATTATTTGGATGGTATTCTTGATTTAATTATAAGTTATATTAATTATAAGAATCTCAAGTATATCACATTAATATGTTTATTTATCTATCTATTTATTTATTTTTGATACAAGTGTGGTGTACTTGATGCATTGATTAAAAAAGTAAGTACTTGGTATTTACAAACCTTAGATTCAAAAATTGGACAATAAAAAAAATACTATTACCATTACTAGCTTATGTGTTACAATACATTACTTGCTAAACTAATGTGAATAATTATGCAATCCTAAGTAAGGATTGAATTCTACCTATAGTTTTATTATATCTAATATCTAATATGTTCTTAGCCATCCATGTTTTATTTTAGTTGTAGAACATAGCTTTGCCATTGTTTATTTGTTTGTTTAATTCATCCAAAGAGATTTTCAAAACATTCTACTAAAGTCTTGTAGTTGAGACCAAATTTCTAATCTAATATTTTAGTCATCTAGAGTTTCTCCATTAAAAAACAATCATTGCATTGCTTCTATATTGTCTATACATAGAATCCTCATAATAGAGACTACATTATTTTAAATCTATTGAATTTTGGTTGAATGTCTTCTATAAAGATAAATTGCTTCTATGAGAATATTAGCCATAGGCCAACTCTTCTTAGATTAGTGGCTAGTTTGAGTATTAGAAAGTGATGTAATTCTATACTCTTTTGGCTTAGAAGTAATCTTAAAATTAGTATAATATTGATTCAAGGAGTCTTGAATCACAAAGTTGTTTATAGAGGATGTGTCTTTTTATATTTTAATTTTTTATGATAAATAAGCCAAAATAGTATTTCCTCTTTGTAAGCTCTTGATTTAGAGCAAACATTCTTCTATTTGAATTTATAGGTTTTATCAAAGATATATTTTTATTTAAAAGTAGTTAGATTTTAAGATTCTTATTATTTTTAAATAATTTTTTTTATAAAACTTTAAAGTATAAGCCATGATATCGATGCCTAATTGCCAATAATAAATTTAAAGGTCAAATTTTCTTCATTCAAATGTGCCATAGAATAGTCTAATGTCTTCATCATTTTCATCTATTGATTTTGTTTTTGTCACTAATTTTGCATAGTATTAAGTGCCTTCTAGATAAGATGCATTTATTTTTAGTGGTTTAATATTTTACAACTTAAAGAAATTATAGTAAAAATATAAGCATCTTTATTGCTTTCCAACAAAAAATATATTATTTTTTGTTAAACTTGGCATAATAAACTAGCTATTAGAAAAACAACTCAAATTATGATGCTTTAATTAAAAGATATAATTAGACAAAAGAATTTTATTTGAATTTTTGAAACTAATCCAATCAATAGAATGAGAAGAAAAAATCAATATAAATTTAAAGATAGATAATTTGTAATCCTTAAAAAACAAAAAATATTGAAGATAAACAAGATCTTATATAGTTGCCACTACATAGAATTAAACTATTGTTAGTTGTGTTGAAAATTAGTAAGATCTTGCATAGTTGCTACCACATAGAATTAAACCATAGTAAGTTGTATTGAAGATCATCAAGATCTTGCATAGTTACTATGATATAGAGTTAAACCATAGTAAATTACTAATAGTCAAAAGATAGCAAAGAATTAAAATAAGTTACTGTGGTAGTAGCTAGGATTTAGGGTGGGAGCTAGATTAAGAAGAATTTAGGATTTAGTTGGATATAGCAAAAAATAATGAAAGTAATTGTAGAAAACATTCATCTATATTACATGTAAACTTCAGCTATAAATAAAGAATATTGGAAGTGAGAGTCATCTTATTCTACACTTCTTTTTGTGTGCAATCTTATTGATGCTAAGTATTGTGGCTTCTAACTTCTCTTTCTTCAACATGATATGGACCTAGTGACATTTGCTTATGAGTTTTGAAATTATATAAAGTCTTTGATATTGTTTTTGCCCATGTTAGGATTTAGAATCTCCTAACTTTCAAATTTAGATTTTAATCTAGATCTTAGTTTGTTCTTACTTGTTGTTAACTACATTTTGGATTTGATATATATTTTACACCTTGAGGTGATGTTATAGAATACTTGTATTATGTTTCTTTGCTGAGTTAGATCTTTGGAGGTCTAACTTTGTAGTTTCATGTATTGAAGAAGCTTAAGATACTTGAAGGACCTCTTATGATACTTGGTAGTGATTTATTCACATAAAAGTGATATAGGAGTGATAAGTATATTTTTAGACATTTATATAATTCATTGGACTTATGAAAAGTTCTAAAACTTAAATTGAAAGTATTTTGAGAATAAAAACACTAGTTTATTCACAAAGAAGGCATTTTAAGATTATAAGGTAGCAAGACCTTCTTGCTGATTTTGAAAGCTTTAGAACTATTTCTTTTGATCTCTTTTGATACATCTCTTCCTTAGATATGGCTTTAAGTAAAGATGAAGACTTGGGAGCAATTGAAAAATTAGAGATGAGAACATTTACCATTAAAAGATAAAAATAGAGTTTCTATTGGTTTCTTTGGATCTTTAGAATATTGTAGATGAAAGTGAAGAAACTCCAAGCATGCATGCTGACATAAAGGAGAAGAAGGACTCCAAACGTTGTGAACAGAAGACTTTTGGATTGATTGTATGTAATGTAATGAAGCCAACTTCTCCCATATTAACTATTGCAAAGATTCAATAGAAGCATGGAAGATTCTTTGAAATATCTATGAGAGCAACAAGTTATCCAACATCATCTACACAAGTTCTTTACTTACAAGATGGAAGAAGGTGAAGACTTCATGGCATACATAAACAAGGTGGAGGCATTTGCAAACCAACTTGCAATTATAGATAAGCCATTAGAAGATGCAGATGTTATTATGATTCTACTCATGAGCTTGCCAAAATCCTACAACTACCTCATTATGGCTTTGGAATCCATTAAGATGAAAGAACTCACAATGGACTATGTGACAACAAGACTTAGCTATGAAGTGAAAAAAAAGAAAAAAAAAAAGAGCCTCAAAGTGAAGATTCAGCACTCTACTTATGTCATAGAAAGGACAATTATCCAAACCAAGGATGTAATGTCAAAACTTGCTTCATTTGTAGCAAAATAAGACATTTTGCTCAAAATTACTATTAAGGCAAAAAGATAGAAAGGAAGAATATAAATAGTAAGCAAGATAAGTTTTGAAGATAAGATTATGCATTTATAGTAGCAAATTACACCTCTATGGCTGCCATATTAAGATGGATTATAGACTTAGGTTGTTCCAAGCATATGACATCTTATAAGTATTCATTTGATACTTATGAGGCTATTCTAGCATCAAATATGATTTTTGTAGATAGTAGCATATGTGAAGCCATTGAAATTGGTTTTATCATAATAGAGGTGGTTGTGAATGGACAAACCAATAGAATCAAATTCAAAATTTTCCTCTATATGTTTAAGATGAAGCAAAAGCTATTTTTGATAAATGAACTTATAACAGATAGTTTTATGGTTTAATTCAATATGAATGGATATTTTGCAAGAATATTGTGTAGAAACATGGTTGCCAAAGGCTTTAAAGAGGGGAATTTGTACTACCTCAAGTGTAAAAAGGGCAACAAAGTGGAGATAGTTGCATTTGCTGAGTTTACATCAAATAAAGATAAGTTGAATATATGGCATTGTTGCCTTAGTTATTTGAATACAAAAAACATGAAAAAGCTTAAGTTTATAGTAAGTGACTTAGATCTTGGAAAAACAAGCCAAAATGAAATATAATTTATATATAAAAGATGCATACAAGGCAAATAACAAAGAGCCTCTTTTCCAAGTGGTATAGGAATATGTGCTACAAAGTTATTGGAAATTGTTTATTTTGATGTACGTGGATCTATAAAAATCATAAGTATTTAGAGTAGCAAGGTATTTTTTCACTTTCACTGATGATTTTTAAAATAAAAATTTGGATCTATATTTTTAAAGCTAAGAGTGAATTTTTTTGGAAGTTTAAAGAGTTTAAAGCACTTGCTGAAAAACAAAGTGAGTGCAAGCTCAATGTATTACTTACAAACAATAAAAGTGAGTATTTGTTTAAGCAATTTGATGTTTATTTGAAGAATGAAGAAATTGCTAGATAAAAGATAATTCCTTACATTCTACA